GGAATTGAACTCAGGACCTCTGGAAGAACAGCCAGTGCTCTTAACCTCTAAGCCATCTCTCCAGCTCCTCCATCTCTCTCTCTCTCTCTTTTTTAAGACTTGTTTTCTATTAAGTGTATGGTCTTGTGTCTGGGTGGCCAGAGGCATTGGATGTCTTCAAGCTGGAGTTACAGGCAGCTGTAAGCCTCCAGATGTAGGTGCTGTGAACCCAACTCAGGTCCTCTGGAAGAGCAGCCAGTACTCCTAGCTGGTGTCTCTCTCACCCGACTCCAGGTTCACACTGGCATTTCCTGACTTCCTACAACTAATTATCCTATTGTGGGTTTATCTGGTGACTTATGGCTCACATGTCAATTTTTGTGAAATCCAATCTTATCTGGAACCAAAGGTGACCAGGGATCAGATAGAGCATTTCTGTGTCATATCAAAACCTACCTGATGGGGATGTCTTCTGTAATTATGTTTCTCTTATTGATGAATAAAGCACTGTGGCCTATAGGGCAGCAAGATAGGCAGGTCTAGATGTGGAGGATTCTGAGAGAGGTAGGCAGAGGGCATTCGCCATGTAGGACCCCAGAGGAGTAACAGGTCCCTGAACCTTTCTCCAGTAAGACAAGACCATGTGGAAATACTTAGATTAATAGAAATGGGTTAGCAATTAAGACAGAGCTAGCCATAAGAAGCCCTTGTCATCAGATGACAGATTCACAAGTCTCCGAGTGTTCATTTGGGGTTGACGTGTTTGTGGGACCAGGCTGTCAGGAATGAGTGTTTGTAACACCTATACCCCCACCCCCAGAAGCTACTGCAGAAAGCGGAATGTCAGCATGGTCAGGGGAACAAGGGTTTGGCGGCAGGAGCCTAAAGAGAAGCCACTTCCCTGTGTGTTCTCATCTGCTTGTCATCTATCATGAATAAGGATTGGAGGATGAATCCATATAAAAAACACTTGTTTGCAAGGTTGTGGGCCAGTATTTGAATTCCCAGGATCCATGAAAAAAAAAAATGCTGTGTGGGTGTGACAACTCACCTGTAATTCTAGCACATGGTAAGTAGAGAGGGGATCTCAGGGCCAGCTGGGTTCAGTTAGGGACTCTCCCTCCATAGGTGGAGAGCAATGGAAAGACACCCATTGCCAACATCTGACTTCCATAAACCCCCTCACCACATGCCCACACAGGTGAACCTGTACACACATATCCAACCAATCAAAAAAAAAAAAAAAATCCAATAGTCAAGACTAACTGAAGACTTGCCTAGCCATCTTATCTTGATTCTTGGTGATATTTAACACCATTCTCTAACTCAGTGGCCTCTCTGGGGCCAATGGTGGGCTCACATCTAACCCAGAGAGCACGCACCACCCAGAGTGGGCAGCTTTCAGAGAACTGGACTCTAAAAATAAGTATTTTGCACATTTCTTTTAGCTTCTTTTCTCTCCATAAAGGCCTCCACAGATGGCTTCTTTACATCATGCTCTCAAATGACTAGCTGATAAATATTCATACTTATGGAAATCGTATTGTACATATTCCAACCCTTGGCAGAGTTACCATTTGTTTTATTTTGTCTCTCAGGGTGGTGCCCTTTGTTCAGAAGGCTTGCTCTCTGTGAATGCACACCCATAAGTGCTTGCACGCGCGCGAACGCGCACTGACACACACACACACTCTTGCTTCTTCATGGCTAATTTTCCAGGGCAAGGAAATTTCACAAGCAAGGGTGATCTTGTCCCTTAGAGGACATCTGGCGATGTCTATGGATATTCTGGGCTTTTACAGCTGGGGCTGAAGAAGTGTGTCGCTCCTGCTACAGGACCAGTGCAGGCCAGGCAAGCTGCTGAACATCCCACAATCCCCAGGTTGGCCACCATCACCAAGAATGATCATAGTCAGTAATGGTACCCAGGCCAGGGCAACTAGAGTGAGGTTAAAAGTAGATGTGGGACACAAAAAATGCTACAAAGAATGAAGTCAAAGTGAACAAGCAGGAGAAAACACAAAGATGGAGGAGGTTCTTTATGAAGACTGGGCTAGTTATTTAAAAAAAAAAAGTTCAACTAATTACCATTATGTATCTTTTTGGTGGTATTTGGGGTTGAAACCAGGACTTCAAATATGCTAAACAAGCACTCAAACACTGAGATACTCAAATTTTTTTGTTTGTTTTTTCGAGACAGGGTTTCTCTGTGTAGCTTTGGAGCCTATCCTGGCACTCGCTCTGGAGACCAGGCTGGCCTGGAACTCACAGAGATCCACCTGCCTCTGCCTCCCGAGTGCTGGGATTAAAGGCATTTGCCACTAACGCCCGGCAAGATACTCAAATTTTTATTTTTATTATTTTTTACGCAGGGCTTTTTATGTAGCCTAGGCTACCTTTGATTTCATTATATGTAGCCCAGACTAAATTCCAACTGGAGATCCTCCTGCTTTGACCTCCCAAACTCCATGTGCAATTGTTACTTTTTTATTAGTATTTCAAAGAAACACCCCAAGTAATCAAGCTGTCAAACTCTGCAGCTGCTTGGAAGTGCGCCTCAATGGGGAAACAGGAAAGAAAGTCATGCTGTTTAGCCAAATGGTGAAGGGGAGCTTTCACAAAACAGTGGAGCTCCAAGTACCCGGGAAACATGCTTATAAAAGAGAGAAGGGGGAACAGTTTGCTTTCCTAAGTAGAGCAGAGTGAGCAGCTCAACAAGCAGCTAGGCTGGGAGGTGAAAACCTTTGTACAATTATTCCTCCTACCTTTTTGGCATGAATTAAGGCATCAAATCTATTAGCTACCTTAAAAAATGTCTTTCTGCCTGGCGTTCGTGGTGACCGCCTTTAATTCCAGCACTTGGGAGGCAGAGGCAGGTGGATCTCTTTGAGTTTGAGGCCAGCCTGGTCTACAGATCCAGTTCCAGGACAGCCTCCAAAGCAATACAGAGAAAACCTATCTCAAAAAACAAAGTCTCTATGTGGTCCCATGCATACCATGTCCATACATGTGAATGCAGTAGGCTCTCTCTCCACCTTTACATAGATAGGTTCAGGAACTGAACTCAGGTTGTCAAGGTTGTTGGCAGTGACTTATCTGTGGGACCATTTCACCAGGCCCACAAAATTTAACTTTTAAAAAATTTTTCAAAGGTTTATTTTATTATGGGCAGTGGTGGCACATGATTTTAATACCAGCACTCAGGAGGCAGAGGAAGGTGGATCTCTTTGAGTTTGAGGCAAGTCTGGTTACAGAATAAGTTCCAGGACAGATGGGACTAGACAGCAAAACCCTGTCTCAAAAAAAAAAACTTTTTTTTTTTGTTTGTTTTTGTTTTTACATGTATGAGTGTTTTGCTTGCATGTGTGTAAGTGCACCAGTACACATCTGGTAGCCTCAGGTCAGAAGAGGGAATTGGGTTCCCTGGCACAGAAGTTACAGGTGGTTGTGAGCTACCATGTGGGTGCTGGGAACCAAACCCAGGTCCTCTACAAGAGCAATTAGCATTCTTGGCCTTGATCAATCTCTCCAGCATCACATTTTAAACTGTTTAAGAATTATATTATCGTTTGACCATGTGCACTGATGTATACATGGACAGAGGATGAGTCTCTGGAGATTCGGTAGCATGCACCTTTACCTGATGAGCCATCCTTGGCTTTACTAAGAACAGTCTCATTAGCAGCCCTCGGTGGCTTGAACTAGCTATGTAGACTAGGCTGGTCTAAACCTCACCAAAATCTACCTACTTGGGTAGAATTAAAGATGTGGGCAAATATGCCCAGCCTGTTGAGCCACCCAGAACCCCAACTCCTACATGGTATTTTCTGAACTACACACAAAACATAATAAACAATTTTACACTAGAATTTCTTTCCTGTCTTCAAACAGTATTATTTAGTCAAGTTTTGAGTAAAAAAATTAATATTCCTTTTATAGTGTTCAATTAACGCTGTGACATGTATGTGACAGATTAGATTTCCCTAAACACCACACTTGCCTTTGCAGCCAATGTCAAGCCACAGCCCAGGCCTACAGAGTCAACCAATATGGTCACACAGGCAAGTCAGCTATCTTTATGTCTATTTTGCTATTTTGGTGCATCTTTGTGTCCAATGCCACATGTGCAGAGGTCAGAAGACAACCTTGAGAACCCCATGCCTACCTTATAGTGTCTTCCATGATTTAGCCTCTATGGTAATGGGGCCAAAAACCTTCCTTGCACACACAAAATAAGTATTCTATCACACACCGGTCTATGCCTAGCCAGACCTCCAGAAACCCTTTCAAACCACCAACATAAAATCTTCAACCCTTGCCAAGGGACAAGACTTTGAGGTGAGGGAGGTTAATGACACAGGGTGACAGGTGCCATAAAACCACATCACAACACCAGAATGAAAAGGATATTTAACTGTTTCATTTTATTTAAGAATTTTACAAAACAGAAAACAAAATCCAAACAAAAAACGAAAAAACCACAACCAAAACCTAGATACAGAGTACTTTCAGTGTGAAGATTGAGTGTTTCTACTTGAGGGTGAAAGGACCCTGCTCAGTGAAGCCGACACACTTGTATTGCATGAGACTGAACTTGAAAGTTACACATCAAAATGACGGCAGCACTGGGTCTGGACACTTGGGAGCAGGTTCCCAGGAGAGGCTGAAGGCAGCAATGTGGCATCGTGGGAACAGCATGTAGCATTCCTTCAGATGGACACTCCTGTGCAGAGCAGCAATACAAACAGGACTGAGGAAACCAGAAGCCACCGAGAGTTCACATGAGACTCTGTTTCAGGTCTTTGGACTCCTTCAGATGTTCCCAGATGCACCGTGTCAGATGAGGAAGACCAGTGCCTACATACAAAATACCCTTTGCGCAAGGAGGTAGAACCTGGCACAAGTTTTATTGCAGAGACACAGTACACCTCTCCCACCTCTCATGGCTGATGATAAAGTGGTTATTGAAAAGCAGTAATAGTTTGCAAATTCAGTAAAAACTATTAACAGGGTGAACTTTCTTTTTTTTTTTTTTTTTTTTAGTGGTGAGGCTGCACTGTGCTATGTTAAGAAAAATGTAAAAAGACCCCTCAGTCTCATAAGTAGGTAGAGCCAGAGGAACAGCTCAAGTTTCTTTACCTTCCTCAGTGTCACCCCACCTATCTGCACAGCACAAGCTTACAAGGCCCTTTGGGTAGGGTCTGGGTTAGAGGACCAGAAGCAGAAAGGCCAGATTAACTCTCCCCAAGGGACTTGCACGCTGTTACTCAACCCCAAGGCGGCCTGAAGTTAAAAAACAAAAAAACCCAAACCCAAAACCCAAATGTACCCGCCACCTCTTCTCTCTCCACACTAAAAGGTGTATTTGTTTGCTGTAGAACTCCTGGCCTATCTGTGCCCTGCTAGATTTCTACAGATGGCTGGCTGCTGCTGCAGGACACAAAGGAAGGGAGATGGGGTGGAGGTATTCCTGCTGGAGCAATCTGTGACAGACCTTCAATCATGACAACTAAGTTCCAAAGACTTAGCCAAATGTAGGCAATTTTCAAAGTGTCATCAAGTCTACCAAGCTGAATGTTCACTGAAAACTTTCCTGAGAATTACAGAGGGTGTTTTTTGAGGGTACAAAGGCCTGTAAATAAAACCCCACTCCTGTGCCCTAGGTGAGGTTCAGCACCATCTCCATGACCTCACCGGGCCTTCAGCACCAACATCAATGCCCCAGAACTCAGCATCTCTGCTTAAAGCTCATCCCGCCAGGTGTGAGACCCTAACACTGAACAGTCTTGTGTGCTGAAGGTTGTGCCAGCTTCTACAGTAGAACTATTGTAGAATGGATGACAGCTGTTCTCTAAGGTCATCTGTCATGTACTAAGAAATATTTGTGACCAGTTATAATCAGATTACTGTGTTTGTCATAAAGTAATCTGCTTGTCATCTGTGGGGCCACAAAAATCCAACTTCTTATACACAGGAAACTTGCAGCCAAGTCATGAGCCAATGAACTATCTGCAACGTCTTCCTGTCAGGCAGGTGGCAGGGACTGAGGGACTGGAGCAGGACTCAATAAAGGCAAGAGTCAGTCATGTCAGGCTTCTACTGAGCTTGCAGCTGGCTGCAGACACACTGAAGATGTTAAAGGAGCTCAAGAGAGATCTAGAGAAGCTTCTCCTTAAATATAAAAGCATCAGGCTCACTATAGCTTCCAGATAACAAAAATGAGCACAACCAGTCACATGGTGACAGGTCAGGAGCAGTGCTCAGGTGCATCCTAAGACAGCACAGCCAGGTGTGTGGGCAACGTGGGCAAGAGGACTCCTACAACCAGGAGACAAAGATGAACTCTAAACACAATTACTGACTCAGCTAAGAAGCTTTCCACAGTTTCCTAAATTAAAAAAAAAAAATAATAATAATAAGATGCTCCATATGGGAGTCCATAAAAGAATAAATAGGAGGGAAAGGAAGAGGAGGCATAAGAACAAGTAAACGGGGCCCTGATTTACAAGATTTACACTTGACATGTAGAAGAACTCACACTTCCCTATACACTTATTATGTACACATGTATTATGTACAGCATACAACAGAGGGTGGGCACTCTTGCTTTAGATAGCTAGCCTTGTTGAGAGATTTTCTTGCAAATGGTTTCTGACAAGCTGCATCCATGACATGGAATGCTTGGCTCATTTCAGTACACTGTGCCAAAGCACCTACCTATGAGGTGTGTGTGTATATGTATGTTTTCATCAGAGTCCACATACATCAGAAGGACATTTAACAAACACACCAACACAGTGTTTCTTTTGCCATGGGTATTCCTCAACTAACTAAACACTCATTGTGTGGATCCTGGCCCAAGGACAGCTTTTCTGGGACACCATTCCTAGCAAGTGCCAGAGCCCATAAAGGTCCCTCTATAAAATCAGGATCCCTGGATAAGGTCTCATGGGATGAGAATGTTTCCACCTGCATTCAAGTGAGCCACAGCAGCCCCTGTGCTAATATGGAAAGTGGAGGACAGGATGAGAATTGTACATGGATGTCTTCCTTCCCCTTCTCTGGTTTCTTAGAAGTTGTTCTAACATCATGGCATGGAGATCAGCAAATAAAGGCTACAGCCAAACTCCTCTGGAGTTTGGTAATCTAGAACTTTTCTTTCCACAGACAGAACAAATTACAAGTTTTATTGTTGCAACTCAAAAAGGTTCTTAAGTGCTGAGTAAGAATAAATACACATATGTACACACCTACAGCTACTACAGTGCTTTGGATACAAGTTCTTGCTAATCTATACATACAGGAAAAAGCAAACACTCAAAGCAGATCTGCAATTTAGTAGAAAAAGAGAAAACTGCTTAGCCTGCCTAGCTTTCTGATAACTTATGTTTACATAAACACTTTTAATACTTCTCTGACTCTGCACCACTGACAGCTCTCTAACTTGACCACAAACAAGGCAAGCCTGTGGCACAGAGGTTGCTAGGGGAGGGAGACACAACCTCCCTAGCAAGCATACCTGAGCAGCATGGAACCTGGAGTGATTTTCAGCACAATCGGGACTGTAAACTCTGAAAACACTGATGGGACCAACAATAGGATCTGCTGCTCAGAGCTGTATTGCTTAAGTGGGAGAAAAGGCATCACAGAGGCCAAGGACTTATGGTGGGTAGAGTTAAGTGACGCCCCAGGATGCAGACATGGCATTCAGATCCACTGGGAGACTGGACCTACTTTATGTGACAGTGGCTGAGAAGACTTAGATTATGACACAAGAAACCCTTGTATGCTGGGCACAGTGCAGATAGCACATGCTCATCTCTTCAAGAGGGGTTGGGCATCAACCCCAGGTGTCACACACATTCAACTGGTCAAAGGTGACTCAGCTTCTGCCCTCCCACACCACTTGCCTTTTCAAGTCTGCTTTGAAAGGGCCTCCAGATGCCTAGTATTCGTGGGCCTTTCTTATTAAACAACAAAAATCAGGAACAGAACACAAGCAGACCCCTTACCAAGACTGGGCTACTCCAAGAGCACATGTCACAGCATCACCACTGGGTGAGGTGCTCACTAACCACTTGCTAGAGAAATCCTGTAGGTGTTGCTTTAAAAGCATCAGAAAAGCCAGGACCCACCAAAACAGACATCTGCACATGCAAAGAGGGTGGCACCAACAGCTTAGAACATGGCATCTGTCCCAACCTCTGCGATTTGGTCTCACGGAGAAAGTGAGTTAAGCCAAGCCCTTCCTTAGGCCTTTTTCTTAACATTCCAAAGAAAGATGAATGGTCCACCAGTTCAAAAACAAAAGCTCAAAGGTTTTGTGAAGGGGGACACAATTCTACTCTTAGTGGCCAACTGGACCTAGGCCACAAAGAGATCCTGCTTGATGCTCATGAGATCACAGCCTGAGATACACGGAATGAGGATAAAAGTTGCATCCACTGGGCAAAATGTGACCAAGAACAAAAACCATTCTCCACTTGTTCTTTGAGGCACTAAGAATAAATAAATCTGAAACAATATTACGGTAAACTTAACCAAAGAAACTTGAGAGAATGAGAGCCCCAAGTGCTCCATCAGGTTTCTGTCACTACACACACCTCACCCAATACTTTGAGAAGTTTAAAAAGCTACAAAGAGAACGATTCAACTTGAAAAACATTCAAAAGTACCATCATTTACCCCGTCCTTAAGATCACCTCAGATTTCAGTCAGACTCTAAGGCTACCTGGAAGGCTAAGGCCACGCCGAGTTCTACAGAGCCCTGCTACCTAGGCCTGGAGTCCCCAGTGAGGGCCTAAACAAGAGTCCACTTCATTAGTACAATAACTTTTTATTCAACATCTACAAGATTTTCATATCTTGTAGCTTTTAACCAGATTTATACAATCTCAATTTTTCAATAGTGCAACCTGTGCAAGCAAAAAAAGGGTAGAAAAAATGGGGGGAGGGGAGGCTGGGAGAAAAAACAAAAAGACCAATTGTCCCCTCACTGTTTTTTTTTTTTTTTTATAAACATCTATTATAGGCGAAACAAAACTTACCCATGTTATAGATAAGTGTCTATTCACATTTGTACATTACCATTTTTAACAGCTGGAGATAATCTCTACAATGTCTTATAGCACATTAAACAATATTCAAGTTACTGGGTAACAACAACAACAACAACAACATACAGCAGAAGCCAAGTGTTTTCTCACTGTCTAGTTTACAACTCAGGTACGGTTTCCGGTTTGAATGACCAAGCAGATTCAGATAATGAAGTAAAAAAGATTGTGTGCAAGATGGAAGCCAATTACAATTCTTCCTAAAACTATGTTTAAGTTAAGGAAAATGTAACTATTGAAAAGGGTCACAGCCATTTTTTGTAGCACAAATTAGGAATACTATTAACACATTAAAATAAACTTTTAAAGAGTCTTATCACAAAAAAAAAAAAAATGTATGTACTTACTACTTTGACAAGAAACTTGGGACAGGGAAGAGTGGGCAGGGCTGAGGGTTAGAAGCAACACTCAGGTATCAACACTAGAAATGCAATACCCAATGCTGTACATCTCCAATGCTTCTCTCCACACGTGACTTCTGTGGTAATCTTGATTACACATGCTTTCAAAGACATGCACTGCCAACAAAAGCTACAAAAGAACCTGAATGCATGGCACGCAACCCTTCACTTCATGCTGTAGGAAACATTGTTTAAGTTGGAAAAGAAACCAATATATATATATTCTGTATTTAGAGACTTGGAACACATGCATCCGGGGAACTCCCACAGTAACGACAAGGATGTACTGTGTTAACCCTGAGCACTGTAGAAAGGAAAAGTAAAGCCAGTATGGGAAGTTCCAAGCATTTTCAACCAACTGTGGTCTTGTAGCATTTAACAAACTCACAGACTGAAACATACACGCGCGCACACACACATCCGCTCTGTTCACCCAAAGTAAAAGAGCACAGGCAGCCCAAGGAAGCAAGAGGAAAGACACGTGTCCCCTCCACTCCATTTGCTGTCAGCGTTGCTGCCTATTCCAGGTTTGTCCTTAACCCCCCAAATTAACTAGAGAGCACAACTGGAAAAAAAAAATAATTCTTTGGAAACTGTCCCTGATTTTTATGCAAGTGGTATGCTCTCACAGCATTCAACACCACGTGGAAGCTGCTGCTGTTTACGAGTTGCTCAAGTTGGTGATGCTCTGTGGGTGATGCTGCTGCCACAGCTGTTTTTGTTGGACTGCGAGCTGCTGAGACTGATCTGAAGTTGACAGGAGATTTACAAGAGGAGACACGCAATTTGCCGGGATGATCAAACCTGTAATTAGCAAGGAGAATCTATGAAGTAGGATCCAGCAGAAGGTACTGTATATTAGCACATCTTCACAAAGGATTGCAAACCAGCCTCCTTCAGAAACCAGACAGGTGGTCAGAACTGGACTCAAGCTGTTCCTGGGAGACTCCCAGATGCCTCACTATGGAGGCATGCGCACGCACGTGCCCAGTGTAACAACATCTCCTGAGGAAGAAACTCAAGTGTGCAGTGCAGCACTTTCCCATCAACCACTTCATAACTTCATAGTCCCTGCAGGCACAATGCCTTCCTTCTGCCAGTCAATAAGGTGTAAAATTACTCTAAGATAGAGGGTGAAAATGTACCTTAGTCATCAGCAGAGATGGACACAGAAGAGCACAAGGCAAGTGGAGGCAGAGGTCCCAGCAAAGGGAATTTCAGTTCTACCCGGTGGGGACTCTGAACCCAATGTAGCAGCTGAGTGTGTTCCCCTCCCCCAATAAGGTTTTCCTGTGTAACAAACAGTCCTTGCTGTCCTGGAACTTGCTCTGTAGACCAGGCTGGCCTCCGAACTCAAGAGATCCATCTGCCTCTGAAGTGTGTATGCTTTTCCTTTTTTAAGAAACCAGCAGCTACAAACTCATTTATATGAAACTTTTACAACCACAACTACCTGAAGGGAAAAAAAGTTTACTAACTGGCAAGCAGTTTTCTCACTACATAAAAAGGGTTGTCAGCAAGGATCGGTGTAGGACATCTATAGCTGACCACAGTGCTCTGACCTAGCCTGCATGACTGAATGCAGCACCTGAGAAAGAGTAGGTCATAACCAGAGGAGAGACTAGCAGAGGGTAATGGTCAAGACAAGTTGAGAGTGGTGTCAGAGACAACTACTGACAGATCACAATACCTAACACAAGGATCAAGTACAAGTGATTATGGTGGTGCCTGTCTGTGATCCCAGCACCCGAGGATCTGAAGGCATAAACCAGGCTGAACTGCTCTCAACCTTGTAGAATGGACAGCATGTTCTGATGTTCTGTGCCCACTACTAGAACTGATAGGAGATAAATATGCAACAAATCTTAAGATGTTAGAAGTGAATAATAATAATAGTAATAATAGGGAAGGATCTCACTCCCCACCACAACCAAAACAAAAAAGCAGCTCACCTACAATCCGCTGTCCATCTTCAGTTCTTAGTCGCACTATCTGCATTTTCACATTTGTGCCACTGACAGAGGCCAGAACACCTTCCACTTTTGTCCAGACACTCAGCACTGAGCCGCATAACACGTAGTATGTGCGGCAACGGAGACCTATCTCACATACCAATCCTAAGCTTGCTTTTTTGCAATTGCCACGCCTAAGAAACACAGAAAGAAAAATATATATAGAAACATGCATACACTTGCAAAGCCTAGCCATACTTAAAAAGGAAAATAGTTCCATGACTTTTTCCTAGGACATCCCTAGTGCTTACTAGTTTATCCTTTCCAAATCTAAGGTGTCCCAATTCTGCAAGTTCAGCTATGCCCGAGGATGGCCTTCCTACATACTTGGTTACTATCTACACATTTCTGACACTTCAATACCCTGTTTCACAGTGCTTGTTATGAAAACCACCCGCCAGTCCCTGCTTCAAGTCTGACTTGAAGCAAGTGGAGTACAAGTACCACAAATAAATGTAAGAACTGAGAAAAAGCAGTTACAGTACAGTCAAAATGTTTCTGAATTCACTGACAGAGGTATCTAAATTATCAAATTAAAATAAATTTAATACAAGAAAAAACAAAATGGGTGGAGAGGTAGCTCTTCCAGAACAGGCACTAGCTGCCCAGGGACCTGAACTTGATTCCTGGACTCTAAAGGGCAGAAGGAGAGAACCGACTTTAATAGAGTTGTACTCTGACTGCCACATGTGTGCCTCACAAGAATATCATACAAGTATGTATACACATCAATTATGTAGTTAGTTTTTAAGATTTTCCTTATGTGTGTGTGGGTGTTCTATCTGCATTGTGTCAGGTAAATTACACACACACACACACACACACACACACACACACACACACACACACTGAAGCAACATGGAAGCACCAACCAGTATGCATGAGTACAGGTATCTGCAGAGGAATTATATTGATCCAGCCAGTGTACCAAAGCGTCATCAGAGACGACCTGCAAGACAAAGCAAAACCCCATTGCAACAATTGAACACCTAACCTGGTTACTAATTCCATAAGCAGTCAACAACAACAAAACCATCTTCATCAGAAAGCCTAGCTTCCACTACTAGCAGAATGTAAATACCACAGGTAACTGAGGCGCCTCTTGGGAAGCCTTGCAGAGAGCTAGTTGAATACAGTTACTTCCAGAAAGTTAAGGCAATACTTTTAGAAAGTATACACATAATGTTGGAAGAACAGGAATTAACTATTTTCTGGAAATCTGTAGGATAAAAACATATGGCATGCTCATCACAAATCAAAGGCTGGTAGGAAGGACATCCCTGTACCAAACCATTGCACTGTGATCTGGCCATGGAGAGCCACAAGCTCATCTTGTCTCAATGGGCAGTAACATCAAAACTGCACCAGCAGTGTAAAAGAAAACTTGCTATTGTAGTAAAATGACCATCCTTGAACCCAGGAATTGTAGCTAATATAGTTTCCTATCATGAAGCAAGCATTCACACATTACTGTGTGTGAGAAAATACCTTCTTATATTTCTTTTTCAGATCAGCATAAATTTCTAGTTTAAGTTGTTTCCCAGTGTTTGGTCGGTAAATTAAAAATAGTTTCTTCTTAGGGTTGACTTCTTTAACCAAGATTGCAGTCTTTTTGTTGTTTCTTATCTATTAAAAGAACAATTGAAAAAATATGTAAACATTTGATTCTACACAATTAAAATTATTCTATTACAATATCACAGCAACAAATTCAGTAATTCAAAAGACAACACCATGCAGGGTGGGTAGTCCTGCAGGCCTTCAAACCCAGCACTTGGGCAGAGGCAGGTGGATCTCTATGAGTTTGAGGCCAGCCTGGTCTACCAAGGACAGGTTCCTAAACAATACAGAGAAACCCTGTCTCGAAAACCAAAATAAATAAATAATAATCCTTTATTATATATGCATATATATAATAATTTACTTAAAAAGTTAAGTACAATTTTATGTGCATTGGTGTGAAGGTATCAGATCTCCTGGAACTAGAGTTACAGACATAATTGTAAGGTGCCATTTGTGTGCTAAGAATCGAAGCCAGGTTTGAACATCCAGTGCTCTTAACCACCGAGACATCTCTCCAGCACCTCCGCCCCTTTTAGATGAGTTTCTATTTTCTAGTTTATTTACTTTTTAAAAACATACATTCATTCATTCATTCATTCATTCCTTCAGTAGGTAATGTCTATGTATGTATGTGTGTGCTTCTTTATTTACTTTTGAGAATTTTTCTTTCTTTTTTTTCCCCCCTTCCAGAATGGGTTTCTCTGTGTAGCTTTGGTTGCCCTAGAACCTGCTCTGTAGATTAGGCTGGCCTCAAACTCACAGAGATCTGCCAGGCTCTGCCTTCAGAGTGCTGGGATTAAAGGTGTGTGCCAACACTGACTGGCTTTTACTGAGCATTTCATACATGTATAAATGTATTTTGATTATAGTCACCCTTATTCTCCCTAGACCTCCATAGACCTCTGCTTTCAGCCAGAGTCCAATCATGCACCCCAACGTGTAAGTGTGGGGCTATCTAGTGTCAACACCCCATCAGTTGCTACTCCACAAAGAAAAATTTGCCCCTTCCTCCAGCTCCTGGCTACAGGTGTGACCTTGTGAGCCCGTTCCCAACCTTCACAGATCCCTTCAGAATAAGTGTTCTTCTGTTTCTTATACATGGAATTACAGCAAAGAAATCTCAAAAAAAAAAAACAAAAACAAAAAAAAAAAAAAACAAAAAAAACCCACTATTTTTTTTTTTTTTTTTTGAGACAGGGTTTTTCTGGGTAGCCCTGGCTGTCCTGCAACTCACTCTGTAGACCAAGCTGGCCTCCAATTCACAGAAATTGGCCCACCTCTGCCTCCTGAGCACTGCGATTAAAAGCGTGCGCCACCAGTGCCCAGCAAGTAGAACTACTTTAACATACAGACAAATAGTACTACCATTAAAAAATATAAGAGCAATATATTATTTCAAAAAGCTGGCTACTGGAAAAAGCTGGCCATGTGTGGTGGGTGGTACATGCCTGTAGCACTGGCACTCTGGAGACTGATGTACATATAAGGCTAGCCTTGATGCACAGTGATAAGCTGGAGATGGGCTCCATATCTAGAACCTGAGAAAATGTACTGCTGTTGCTTTCATCTGTGCCAACTAATGTCTCTGAGGTACCAAAAGCACAAACTCAACAGCAGCCAAGTTCACAGAGGCCTTCATAAAATAAACACGAGGCACACAAACAAATAAAAGGCAGGCAGTCACGACCCACTGGTGACTGATCAGAAGAGACCACAGGAGTAAGATGACAGGCTCCAGAGTATACTCTAATAACTACCCAATGCTTCCATAATACAGAAATACAACTGTTTTTAAAATCAGGATATGTGGGACTAAAAGATGGCTCACTGGTTAAGAACACTGGAGAGGACCCATGTTGGTTACCAGCACTCACATGGTAGCTCAGAACTGTCTGCACTCCAGTTCCTGGGGGATCTGATGCTCTTCCTGGCCTTTGTGAGTACCAAACAAAAAATCCATATACAGATGCTCATGTAAGCAAAACATGCTATACATACAAAATTAAATTAAGCCTGAAATGGCATGTGCACCTATACACAATAACAAATAAATAGATAAATAAATAAACAAATAATTTAATGGCTAAGGTGAGCCAGGCATGAGTGCGCACTCCAGAGGCAGAGGAATGGTGATCTCTGTGAATTCAAGGCCAGTCTAAGTGACAAGAGTTTTCTAGGACAAGCCAGGGCAACATAGTGAGATCTGTCTCAAAAAGGAAAAACAAAACAAAACAAACAAAACCCCCAAAAATTCAAAACTCTGAAGCCATAAAAATAAGTAAGAAACCAAGAAAAAGCATGCTTTTCCTGATAACACTTTGAAGAAAATTCAATTCTTACTTGCAATGATAAGTAAAAGCCATCATCTGGTCCTGTCAGCTCTGCCCAAATCTTGGTTGCTTCCTCCCAGGACATTCCCCTCTCCACGCTAATCTGTGAAAGACACAGAGATTTAAATGCAGTTCCTGTGTGGACACTGCAAAGCAACACCCACTTTGCAAACTTACTGTGTATAGCTCTACGTGGCCAGAGGTTGAATATCCTGGAGTCAGAAACTTCTTCACATCACTCTTCCTCACCTTCTCATCTCCAGAACCCAGATCTTCAGAAAGAAACAGGATGTATATAAATGGGGAGATACTCTGGAACCAGGAGCACAGAGTGTACATAACTGTCCCCACTCACCTAGGATTCCCATGTCATATCTTCCATTCTTCTTGGCATTCTGAACAACTGCAGTAAGAGTGTCTGCAAAATACTGAAACAACGCATTCTGCTGGTGCACCTCCATGCCCAGAATTCTGTTTAAGAATTTTCCTATATTGTTATAGTCTGCAATGACAAAATTATATGAAAAATTCCATGAATTCCCATGGTAAATTAAAAATTTATCCTTTATCTAGGCAAACCTTCAAAGTCAAACTTTCAGGTCTAGTCCTCCTCTCAACTTTTAAACTGCCCTTACAAAGGGTTCTGCACTATTGCAACCTGCCACTTTCGACCTTTGGCCACCAGCAGTTGCAACACAAGCTCACAAGCACGTAAGAATATTGGTTCACCAATATCAAATATTCTATTACATTTACTTATTGACTTTTTACCCCCTTCTCCTCCAAGACAGGGTTTCTCTGTGCACCAGTCCTGGCTGTCCTAGAACACACTTTGTAGACCAAGTTGGTTTAGAACTCAGAAATCCACCTGCCTCTGCCTCCCCAGTGCTGGGGGCATTCTAGTTTTGTGTTCAGGGCTGAGAGTCACAACTTAGCAGATGAACTTGGGGTTAAAATTTAATGCTAGGAAACTTAGTGTGTAAGCCTATAATCAAGCCCAGCATTGGGGAAGTTGAAACAGGATGAAGACTGTGTCTCAAAAAAGATTTGGAGCCAGAGATACTCAGCAGTTAAGAGCTTACAGAGAATCTGGGTGAGGTTGGTTTCCATGTACACACACCCTCATATATACAAAGACCTATGCAGGGCACTTGGTTGGCGGAGGCAGGCAGATTTCTGTGGGCTTAAGGCTAGCCTGATATACAGAGCTAGTTCCAAGACAGCTAGGGCTACACAGATGCAGCTTACCTGGTTATTTAGATGTTTAAGGCAAGAGGTTCAAGGCCTAAATTCCATACAGAGTAAGTAAAAGTAAACCTGGCCCATGTAGTAAGACAATATCTCAGAAATAAAGAGAAACACTAGGAGAGATATCTCAGAGGTTAAGAGCACTGGCTGCTCAAATAAATGAGCAAATAAACAACAAAGAGAGCTTCAGATAACTCAGTGGAATAACACTTTACTAGTTAGTATAGGCTCTGGGTTCCAATCTAGAACCACCTATAATCCCAGCACTAGAATAGCTAAGGAAAAAGCATTGCCTGAGTCTGGTCAATCTAGGCTGTGTCACACACACAAAAACTACAATATGACAGCTAGTTCAATGATTCAATTGATAGAAGTGATTTGCCACTCACAGCTGATCAGTTGGATCACCAGAACCAACAAGTAAAAAATGCCAGATGTAGTGGCTATCTTAATTTAAGCAATTCTACAGTGGAAGGGGCAGCAGACAAAGAAGACACACCCAGAAATTTGCAAGCCAGCTGGCTTAGTCAGTATAGAAGCTAAAACAGACTCTGTCTCAAAAGCAAGGTGGAAGAACCAGAGTTCTCCAAAGTCATCTTCTGGCTTTCAAAAATAAGCAATAGTACTCACACTTTTTTTGGTTTTTCGAGACAGGGTTTCTCTGTGGCTTTGGAGGCTGTCCTTGAACTCACAGAGATCAGTCTGCCTCTGCCTCCCGAGTGGCTGGGATTAAAGACGTGTGCCACCAATGCCCGGCTAATACTCACACTTTTATAAGCATGCCCCCTCACAGAGTTGAGGTAAGGCTTTAGTGCACAACAGTCTATAGGAGGTTCCATTAATACAAGTTACATGCACACACAGTGATATTACCTTTATCAAGAGTAAGAATTCCTGACCGATCTTCTACATTAATCAGGCCCACTCCGATCAGTCCTTGCCGAACATCTATAAGAAAAAAAATTATGAAAAATGTTCAAAATCCAAATGACTCAATGAGCTGTTAATTAAATAAGATTAAGTTATAGCATTAAGATATAAACTATGTATCTTGCTCCTTTCCAATCACCTGAACTGAATTGTTAAACAAAATACCCAATAATCTCTATCCACTGCAAAACCCTAAGTCACCAAACCTCACACTGTGTGTCTGGTTTGTTTGGTTTCTAGTGTTTTTGGTAGTGCTGGAGAATGAACCCTAGGATGCTGGCACTAAAATTGTCCCTAGTCCTTCATTGAAACACCTTTATTATCAGACAGGTAGTGTTGGTATACACCTTTAATCCCAGCACTGGGAAGGCAGAGGCAGTTTCATCCCTTCTGAGTCGAGGCTAGCCTGGTCTACAGATCTAGAGCTAGTTCCAGGACAGCCAGCGCTAATCAGAGAAACCCTGTCTCAGTAAATGAATGAAAGAATAAGTAAACAAAAATTTACCCAGGTGATGGTGCATACCTAAAATCCCAACATAAGGGAAGCAGAGGCAGGATCTCCATGAGTTCAAGGTTTAGCCTGATCTATAGAAACTAGAGCTTTCAAGATGGGTCAGTAAGGAAGGATGAAGTCCAATTCCTGGAATCTACAATGGTAATAGGGAAAAAACTCCCAAAAGTTGTCCTCTGACCTCCACACATGCTGTAAACATTCACCATACCACCCCCTCAAAATAATTAAAACACAAGCCAGGCATTGGTGGCGCACACCTTTAATCCCAGCACTCAGGAGGAAGAGGCAGCCGGGTCTCTGTGAGTTCCAGACCAGCCTGGTCTACAAGAGCTAGTTCCAGGACAGCCTCCAAAGCTACAGAAAAACCCTGTCTTGAAAAACCAAAAAAAAAAAAAAAAAAGACCCCCCCCCCCCCACACACACACGCAGGTCAAATCTTATCTTTTTACAAGAAAGCCCTGTATATTATTGAGACCATTTATCTAAATACCCAGAAAATTGCAACAATTTTGTACAACTAGGCTATTACCTGATTAATTACATAAGGAACCCATAATGTTTTCATTCAGGTCTTATCTAGAACTACTGGCAAAGTACTGCAAAAGGTAAATGTTGAACAAGCAGTCAACATGCCCCAAGAGACTTCACAGAGCTCTTCTCACTCTTCCCAAGACTGGGTTTTTTCATGTAACCCTGGATGTCCTGGAGCTCACACTTTGTAGACTAGGCTAGCCTTCAACTCACAGACTCACCTGCCTCTGCCTCCTGAGTGCTGAGATTAAAGCGATGTGCTGCTACACTAGGCTTTCAAGATTTATTTGTTTGTTTAAATTCATTTATTTATTATATACACAGAAGAGGGCACTAGATCTTATTGTAGATGGTGTGAGCCACCATGTGATTGAAGGGAATTGAACTCAGGACCTCTGAAGAGTAGTCAGTGCACTTAACCTCTGAGCCATCTCTCCCCTCAAGATTTATTTTATGGGCATGAGTGTTTTGCCTATCTGGGTATCACGTGTGCAGTTCTTACAGAGGCCAGAGGAGGGTTTTGGATACCCTGGAACTGGGGTTAGAGATGATTGTGAGCTACTAACTAGGTGTTGAGACCCAAATCCAGGACTTCTACAAAAGCAGCTAATGTTCCTCTCTGCTGAGCTATTATTAGCCCCTGGTTTTATGCCTGTTTTTTTATTTTTATTTTTGGTTTTTCGAAACAGGGTTTCCCTGTGTAGCTTTGGAGCCTATCCTGGTACTTGCCCTGGAGACGAGGCTGGCCTTGAACTCACAGAGATCCGCCTGCCTCTGTCTGCCTCCCGAGTGCTGGGATTAAAGGCATGCACCACCAACTCCCGGCTTATGCCGGTTTTTTATATACATGGTCTTACTACACAAGTTGGCCCTGAACTCAATATTCTTCTGCCTCATCATGCTGAGTTTCATTACTGGAATACACTAGCATGTCTAGTTTGATACTGGGGATGTAACCCCAAGCTTTGACACACCCAAGAAAAGCAGTGTATCAACTGAGTATCATCTTTATTCCCAGCTATGATCATTTTTAAATTACCTTTAAAGAATTCTCCAGGGTAGTCTGGAGGTGGTGATACCATAGGAGAATCCAAGTTTACAATGGATTTCATGACAATTTCCAAAGCATTTCTTCCATACTGTAATTGAAAAAAAAAATGTTTTAAGCAGCTTCAACATTTGGATATTTTTTTTTAAACCACTTAAATGCCACATACTTTTAGGATTGCCTATTCTGTGCCATTACAGACAGCAGATATTCAATACATTAATGACTTATTTTATTTCTTTCTTTTTTGGTTTTTCGAGACAGAGTTTCTCTGTCTTTGAAGGCTATCCTGGAACTTGTTCTTGTAGACCAGGCTGGTGTTGAACTCACAGAGATCTGCCTGCCTCTGCCTCTCAAGTGCTGGGATTAAAGGCAACTTCTTTTATTTCTAATAACTCATTCTTGATGTCTTTACAAATAAATACTCTAGTAGTGTTTCCGAAAAGGGACAAAAGATGTGTTTTAGATCCAATGATGTGTGCAATTAGAGCGTTTATTTTTTCAATATCAATCAATTTCCTTTTCTGCAACTGCACAAACCACAAACATCCTCAATGTTATAGAGATGCTGAAATGTACCTTATTGTCAAAGTTGAACCTGCTCAGATCTCTAGATTCTGTTGCTCTTCTGTCACCATGTGTAAGTGCCCCCTGGCAAAACACAAAATTCCCGGTCAAGTCATCATCAATCCCTCCCAGAAGTTAGCTAACACAGATCATCTGTGACATTCACCTAACACAACTCAAAAACTTACCAAACTCTCGAGTCTCTTAGCAACAATAGATGCAAATCTCTGCTCTCCAGCTAGTTCCGATATCAAAAAGACATACTCTGGAGCAGTTACTTGGTTTGACCTGTGTGTTCTTCCTGTAACAACATGTGTACAGTTCAATAGGTAGGGAAGGCTCAGATTCTGAGATCTGAGTCCTACCATTTAACATTGAACAGGTATAAAGAAAAGGTCCCACACACTACAGAATCAGACCTTAAACACCTGGTGCTTCTGCTTCCACCAACCAAGTGCTAAGATTACAAGCCTGTGTATCAAGCCTAGCTAAGCTGGCATGATCTAACCAAAATACCCTTGAAAAAAAGATTAAAGATAATACTCATAGCTCCCCTGAACAGCAATGTAACTAAACATAACTGTCATCACTACTCAAGCATCAGAACCTGAGTAAACATCAAAGCAGTGCCACCATTTGGTTAACCAGTGCTGCTGCACAGCCAATCTGGGTTTTATATGTGGGTCACCAGATCACAGGAAAAGGAACATGCAGCTGCTAAGACCTGAAACCAACATGGATATAGCTGGCTGCTCTAAAAGACCCACATACTGTACAAATCTACAATAAAAATACTTTCAAGGAAGCCTGTTCTTGGAGACCAGGGACCCTGTGCAATCCTATCACACATGTCAATACAGGCAAAATGGAATTCATAATCCACTACACATCACAGTATATAGAGAACACACTACCAATGTAGAATCTGAGAATTCCATATGCTTATTATGGTGTTTCATACAGACATGTAAGCATGTCTCCAGAAACACTTTTCCTCCCAGAGGGATCCAGTGCAGACACTTACCAAATTGCTGAATGGCCCGATCAGCACTCCAGGGTAACTCCAAAGTCATATGAACTCTTCGCCTTTGATTCTGAGCTCTCCGATCCGCTTGTAATGAAATACCTGAGCTAGCAGCTTCTGAGATAATAGCAATATTCTATATCAAATTGGAAAAGGAAACAAAAAATTACCTCTTAGCAAAGACAGGGAGTGTCAATGCCTAGAGAACTTCCTTTATTGAACAGAGATGGCCCCCAATATGTAATCTATTCTCTTTTCAAAGAAGTAAGATGTCCTGATGTCAGCATGGCATGTACTTGCCCAGAGTTGAGATTAGCTGCCCTAGTCTCCTTTAATACTAAGCATGAACACACAGGCAAGCTGCAGCCAGTAAGTTATAGGTGGTAGATATAATGTCCAAAAAATGTTATTTTAAGTTCAGGCAGTATGTCCTGAAGTTTTCAAGTGCTTGATGCATATAGGTAGGCCTTATCATAATCACCAACTGTAACTTGGGGTGGGGGGTGCTAGGGATGGAGCTCACAGGAGCACTTAACCAACAGGCACAAGACCCTCAGTTTAAGTTCTAGGGTGCAGGCATGGTGGTGCACACTTGCAATTCCAGTATGCAGAAGGTTGAGGCAGGAGGGAAAAATGAGTCCAAAGACATCCTGGGTTGTATAGCAAGACCCAGACACAAAAAACAAAAACAAAAACAAAAACCGATAGTAGTGGTCTCATCTACTCCAGAGGCTAAGGCATAAGGATCGCAGCCTAGGTAGAACCACAAAGTCCTATCTCAGGGAAGGGAGTAGACAGAGAGAGAGGGAAAAGAGGAATGGCAGAGAAAGTTGTAAGACAGCATTAATTTATTTTTCTCCTTTAAAAAAATTCTTTGAGACAAAGTCTCCTATGTAGGCCAAACTAGTGTAAAGCTCAGGATCCACCTGCCTCAGCCTCAAAAGTTCTAAAATTATAGGCACATGCTACCACACTTTTAGCCAACGCATAAACGTGTCCATTGTCCTAGTTAGGGTTTATATTGCCGTGAAGAGACCCCATTACCACAGCAACTTTTATAAGGAAACTTTAATTAGGGTTGTTCACTTATAGTTTCAGAGGTTCAGTCCATTATCATCATCATGTTGGGAAGCATGGCAGTGTGCAGGGCGACATGGTGCTGGACAAGCAGCTGAAAGTCCTACATCTTACAGGCAACAGGAAGTCCAATGAGATAGTAGACAGGTTCCTGAGCGTAAGAAACCTCAAAGCCTCCTTCTATAGTGATACAATTCCTCTAACAAGGCCATATCCACTTCAACCAAGCCACACCTAACAGCACCATTCTCTATGAGCTCATGGGGGGAAATTACATCCAAACTACCACATTACACTCTCTTTGTACAGTGTGAGGATTTGTCCCTGATGTTGGTTTAATAAACAAGCTGACTAGCCAATAGTTGAACAGCACAAGCTGGTTAAGCGGGAGAGCCAAACTGAGAATGCTTGGAAGGAGAAGGGCAGAGACAAAGAGAGAAGCAAGATAGACATGCCAAACTGAGAAAATGTACCATACTATGTTGCAAAGCATAGATAAGAAACATGGGTTAATTTAAATGTCAGAGTTAGCTGGTAACCAGCCTGAGCTACTGGCTGAGCATTTATTTATAATTAATGTAAATCTCAGTGTATTTATTTGGGAGTTGCTGGCCAGGCACCTCTCCATGTCTACCCGCACACAGCCATGCTCCCCACCATGGTAATGGACTAAACCTCTGAACTATAAGCTGCCACCTCAATTAAATGTTTTTATTCATGTATTCATTCATTCATTTATTTGGTTTTTCAAGACAGGGTTTCTCTGTGTAGCTCTGGAGCCTGTCCTACAACCGGCTCTGTAGACCAGGCCGGCCTCAAACCAAAAGACATGAACCTGCCTCTGCCTCCTGAGTGCTGGGATTGAAGGTGTGTGCCACCAACCACCGCCTGGCATTGTTTTCCTTTATAAGAGTTGCTGTGGTCTTCACAGCAAAAAAACCATAACTAAGAAATACATGAAAGAAGTGTCTTGTGTGAGCCATAAGTAGGTAAAAGCAACGTCTCAGAGTCTTATAACCAGAATTTAATCCCCAGGATCCAACATGGCAGAGGGAGAGAACAAACTCCCATCAGTTATCCTCTGATCGCCACCCAAAAGCCATAGCATGCCTACTCACAAACATACATCCATACAATAAATAAATGTAGTAACTTTGAAAATTATGATTTAACGGCAGGTGGTGGTGGCGCACGCCTTTAATGCCAGCATTTGGGAGGCAGAGGAAGGCGGGTCTCTGTGATTTTGAGACCAGCCTCATCTACAAGAGCTAGTTCCAGGACAGGCTCCAAAGCCACAGAGAAACCCTGCCTCGAAAAACAAAAACAAAAAACAAACAAACAAACAAAAAAAAAGGAAGCAATTTCTTGCCAATTGGTGGTGGCTACACACGTTTAATCCCAGCTCTTGGCAGAAGCAGGTGGATCTCTGTGAGTTTCAGGATATCCTGGTCTATAGAGTGAGTTCCAAGGCAGGCAAACTGTTTCACAGAAATACCCTTTCCTGAAGCCCACCCACAACCTAAAGCAATTTCTTTCCTGGGGCTGGAGAGGTGACTTGGTGGTTAGGGGCGCATGCTCTTGCAGGAGACTCCAGCTTAATTCCTAGCACCTACACAATGGCTCACAACAATCTATTAACTCCAGTTCCAGGGGATCCAACACCCTTTTATGGCCTCTCTGAGCACATGTAGACACATATAGCCACACCTATACAAAAAAAATATATATATTTTTTTTGTGGGGTAGAGGGTTTCAAGACAGGGTTACACTGTGTAGCTCTGGCTGACCTGGAACTCACTCTCTAGATCAAGCTGGCCTTAAACTCAAGATATCCACTTGCCTCTGTCATCAACACCTACCAGCAGTATTTGTGAACACTGTTCTAGATTCAAAATTAAATGACACTAAGTGCCATACATTATGCTGACTAACAGCTAATTTTCATTGTCAACTGATAAGCATTCGTATGATTACTGAAACACAGACAATTAAATCTGGAGGACTTTACTTCCATCAACAGATTATTCTCTTGCTAGATTCATAACATAGTGGTAATTAAAGGTAATGGAGGGCAGGAAGTGGGGTCTAGTTGAAACAAGGAGTTACATGAGACAAATCCTTTGGGCTCTGTCTCCCCTTTTATTTCCATTCAGTCACATCACACAATAGGCTAAAAGTATGAAATCATGCGCCAAGATTAACTTTCAGTCCTAAGTAACTGTTGGATATCCATTGGCAGCTATGCAAAAGTAACTAAGGAGGGAGGGAAAAGAGAGATCAAAGAAATCACTATAATGAGTCACTATTTTCATATCCCTGCACCCCTCAAACTCTCTAATTTTTCAGGCAAGGCATCATGTAAACCTGGCTGGTACACTTTAGCCAAGAAGCCTGAGCTCCCGATCCTCCTGCCTCTACCTTCAAAAGCACCGTCTGACCTGGTTTTAGTATTCAAGAGTTCTAAATGCCAAGAACATTGCTCTTGTGCACCATACAGAATCTACACTACATTCACTTTACAGTCACTAATAAAGATAAACTATTCAACAAGTATATTAACAGTCTGAGGGTGTTGAGGGATGAAGGGCAAACCCTTCTAAAGCTGAACATATAGGCAGATGCCTTCTACTGAAAAGCACCCCAGGAAAACATACCTTCTTTCCATCCATAAACCTTTGCTTCTCCGTGATGTTTAGAATTTCCACAGGCACATCAATCTCAGTCCTTGACTCGTAAGATATGCTTCCATCATCATTGCTCACCACACGTCCCTTGCGTCCAGTCATCTGAGAGAGAGGTAAGCATCAACACAGAGCTTTAAGGAAATTGGCTGGGAGATTGAAACATGGGATGATACAAGCTGGTACTGGGACAAAAGAATGTTGCAACATGAAAAACTGGTACATGGCAACCTTCACAAAAGCTGCACAATAGTACAGGAACCAGGCTCAGGACAAACCTCAGACACTGAGGACAGACTTCTGTAGTCAAAGCCTGAGAACTAAAGCAGAACAAGGTTCTGAGAACTAAACCAGAACAAGGTTCTAAGTTGTGTTCAGAGAACAGGACACTCACATCACAACATTTAAAAAGAGAAGAAAATAATAACAAGAAAGATCACAGTACAAACCACACCTATTTACCTCAGCCACATTTTCAGGACCACCAAGGTCATCAATAAGTTCATCCAAGGTGTTAGGAGGGAGGTCTTCAGCCAATTTGTCTAGTTTATCAAGCAGGTCTTTCTTCATCTGCTGTGCCCTTTCCACAGCATCCTGGCTCGTTATAAGGCTATTGTTACTGTTGGTGTTACTGTTAGCTGATAAAGAACATTGTTAATCAGTGAAACTTCAATAGCCAATTTCCATTATAGCACATTTCCAAAATAGGACTTTCTGCACAGTACCTGGTGCACTGTTGGGAGCAGGTGAGATGACTGGTGCAGAGGAGAAACTAGGACGCTTTGAACCCAGACCTGATGCTAACAAGGCACTTTGAATGGAATCTGGATCTATACTTTTCTTCTTTTTTTTATCTTTGCTTTTCTTGTGCTCTTTTCTAATTAGCCAAGGATCTAAAACATAAGGCAAATATGTATCAAATAATTTGTTAGAAAAATACAGTTCCCCACCCTCTTTGAGACAGGGAATTCTGTGTAGCTCTGGCTGTCCTGGAACTTCCTCTGTAGACCAGGCTGGCCTCTAACTCAGAGAGCCCACCTGCATTTTCCTCCTAATAGCTGGGCAAAAGGTTTGTGCCAAAACTGCCCAGCTGATTTTTAACTATAGGTACGTGTGTGTATCTGTATATAGGTTTGTGTACACAGTACACATGTCTATAGAAATCCAATGTTTAGGAAGTTATGAGCTCACCAGATGCTAGAAACACAACTCAGATTCTCTTAATCATGGAGCCATCTCTCTAGCACTGAGAAAATTGTATCTTTTGTCTGTTTTTGAGACAGGGTCCCACTATGTAACTCTGGTTGACCTGAAACTCACAGCAACAGATCCTCCTGCCTCTACACCCCTAATGCTGGGTTTAAAGCCACACACACACAGAGCCTAGCAGCTAAGTCCCCTTTTGTTCTCATGCAACAGTTTTGTGAACTCACCGTCTTCATTGTCTTCACTGGACTCATCTCTGAAGGGATTGAAATCGTCATCATCACCAGAGCTCATGTTTTTAGAGCTCTCATAGTCGCTTTCTTCATTGTCAGAGACATCAGACTCACTTCCACTGTCATCAGAGCTGCTACCAGTAAGGCCCCCAACTTTTCGTGCTTTTTTTGCTTCTCGAGTTATTTCTTCACCTACCCTCAAGCCACAAACAAAAGTCAGCTGGAAATTCAATGTTTCTAAAGACCTATGGTTGTTAGGTTTTAGATTACGAGTTGAGTCTAGTGAGAACTGCAGACAGCAAGAGTATACTTTTGTTGTTGTTTCTCTGTAGGTTTGGAGGCTGTCCTGGAACTCTCTTTGAAGACCAGGCTGGCCTCTGAACTCACAGAGATCCACCTGCCTCTGCCTCCCAAGTGCTGGGATTAAAGCTGTGCACCACCACCACCCGGCACTTCTTTTATTTCTAATAACTCATTCTTGATGTCTTTACAAATAAATACTCTAGACTGATGGAAAGAAAATGAGGGGCTGGATCAAAGCACATTACATGCATGAAATTGTCAAAACCAAACACAAATTCAAGACTGAATGCAAAAAGGACCTAAGTCACAGTCATGACTGTTAAGTAGTATCGAAAAGGGCATTAGTAACTAGGCATAAAATACCTAGAAAAATTAATGTATAAGTCAGGTATGGTAGTATCTAATCCCAGCACTTGGGAAGTAGACACAGACAGGTCTCTGTTGAGTTCAAAGCCTGCCTAGTCTACAGATTGAGTTCTAGGTGCACTAGGACTATCTAATGAGACTCTGTCTTGAAGGTAGGGCAAGGAACAGACATACTGACTTATAAAAATCTCATTTTTAAAGGTAAATAGGTGATTCGTTTATTACCTAATATTAAGAAAAAAGATTGGGAAAGCTCAAAAACTAAAATCTTTTATTAATGGACCTGAGGAAACCTAACTTGAGACATGGGGAGACGGTCAGTTACTCTACCACACTGTTGACTGTAAGACACCATTACTTCATGTGCTATTCAATTAAAATTAGTACCTACACCAACCAAAGCCTCTTTAGCCATAACCAGCAAGGCGAACATAATGCCTGTAACCCAGCTGCTCCAGAAACTGAAGCAGGAAGAAGGCAAGCATTACCCAGTAGTGCCAAAAAAGGGGGTTTGAAGTGATGGTGCACTGACCAGCCAGCTCCATGTTTGTTAAACAGCAGCTCTGACAACACAAAGACTAAGTGTACTTAAGACAATCTTAACTCTAATTTCCTAAGTACTGGACAGAGTATCCAGCTAATTAAAGTAAGTGGGGCCACTTGTGTATTCCTGAGTCCAAGGAAAGCACCAGCCCCTTCCCACTAAAGGAGGGTAGGTAGGCTCAATCACAAACAGTGACTTCAAAACTCAGATTATCAGCACTGCCACCATCAACTACTTAAAGAAAAGCACTCACCTTTCCGCTTCTTTATTTTGTTTTCTTTACAAGGGCTATCTCTTGGTGAACTGTTGTTACTCGGAGCTGTCAAATCGATTCCTAGCAAACTATAAAGTTTCTTCCTGTCTGGAGCAGGGAAGTGTTTTTCAATGAGTGACTGCAATACCCCTCTGTAGGAAAAAAGCAGTGAACCTTATTACTTCGTGTGACACCTGTAAAATCTTACTAGATATACATTTTCTTCAATCTTAAGAAATACAAAGGAACGACCCCAGATAAGGTTCTAAGCAATAGTGGAAGCGAGTGCCTGAACTGGCCTTCCCCCATAATTAGACTGAGGACTTCCTTAATTGTCATCTAGAATCAACTGATGGAAACATGCAGAGATCCACAACTAATCACTGGGCCAAGCTATCGGAGTGCAGTCGAAGGGAGGGAGGTGTGATAATATGAGCAAAGGGATCAAGGCCATGATGGGGAAACCAACAGTAACAGCTGACCTGAGCTAGTGGGAGCTCACAGACTCCAGACTGACAGCTGGAAAACCTGCAGAGGACCCAACTAGGCCCCCTGAATGCAGGTGACAATGGTGTGGTTTGGGCAGATTGTGAGGCCACTGGCAGTGGGAGGAAAACCTATCCCTAGTGTATGAACTGGCTTTTTGGAGCCCATTCCCTATAGAGAGACACCTTGCTCAGCCTAGACTCGGGGGAGGTCCTTGGTCCTGCCTCAACATGGTGATGTGAAAAATTTAATGACCACCTGGGGAGGCCTTACCCTTTCTTTGGAGTGGATGGGGAGCGGGGTAGGGGGGAGGTTTGGGGGGGGGGGGAGAAGAGGGACTGGGATTGATATGTAAAAAACTAAATAAAAATGTGCAAAAACAAACAACAAAAAAAGAACAAAGAAAAAAATATTTCTGGCTGGGCTGTGGTGGCACATGCCTTTATCCCAGCATTTGAAAGGCAGAGCCTGGAGGATCTCTGTGGGTCTGAGGCCAGCCTGATCTACAAAGTGGTTCCAAGATAGCCAGCACTACACAGAGAAATCCTATTTTGAAAAACCAAAAAAGAAATATTTGCAACTCAGCTCAAGTGAATTTTAAGAGAAGCCTGTCCAGTAGCATTAAGCAAGACACCACCATTCTTTTATGCTTTCTAGTACTTACATTAAAGAGTAGGGCAGGGACGGGGGAAATGGCTCATTGGGTAAGGGCCTGCTCTGCAATAAGCATGAAAACCTGAATTCAAATCCCTAGCAAACACATTAAAAGCTTAGCATGGCTGCATAAGCCTGTAATCCAAGCACTGAAGATGGAGACAAGTAGATCCTGAGAGCTCACTAGCAAGTCAGTCGAGCTGAAATGGCAGGGCTTCACTTCAGAAACCCTCTCTCAGGAAAGACAGAGAAAGCAACAGAAGACACAATACTCTGCTACCTACAAGTCTGTACACAGGAGCATGCATGGAAAACTTATTTCAATGTACAATAGATGCTCGAGAGCTTATAAACTGGGTGTGATTACACATGCCTTTAGCCTGAGCACTCAGGAAAGGTAGGTGAATCTCTGAGTTTGAGGCCAACCTGGTCTACAGAGTAGACAGAGAAACCCTCTCTCTAGGAGGAAAAAAGGTAGGGGGAGGGAACAGTACTTGCCTGTGATCATAACTACTGAGGGAGGCTTAGGCAGGAGATGGCTTAAGTCCATAAGTTCAAAATTGGCTTGGGAAATATAGGAAGACCCTTACATAAAACAAACTGAACAAAGAGGTATTTACCACAACATGATGCTTCAATGTATAATCAGTAAGATTACCTACCTACCTACCTACCTACCTACCTACCTACCTACCTATCTATCTATTGGGGCAGGGTTTCTCTGTGGCTTTGGAGGCTGCAGAGACCCAATTGCCTCTGTCTCCCGAGTGCTGGGATTAAAGGTGTGCACCACCACCTGGCTTTCTTACATTTTTATTACGTGTCTTTTAAATCTAGTGTGTTTCACATTAACGACATAAATGCACCCACTCAGTCATTTCAATTGCTTAGTAGCTTCACATATGACAAGTGGCACTTTCCCAATGATTCAAAACAGAAAAGTACTTCAAATTTTGCTCTTATGACTCGTTTTCAATGACAGGAGTCTTTCAAGCACTGGATGTGTCCCTAAAGGGGAGCAGAAGCACAGCCTCAAAGCTATTGTGTTGGCTTTATTACAATCAGTTAATATTTTCTAAGATTTGAAAAAAATAAATTTTTAAATTTATATGTATGGTTTCTTTGCCCCTATGTTATGTCTATGAACATGCAATGACCAGTGCCCTCAGAGGCCAGAAGAGGGCATCAGATGCCCTGGAACTGGAATTGCAGGTAACCACGTGGAGGTAGGTCCACTGCAAGAGCAGCCAGTTGAGAGCTCTTAAACTCTGAGCCATCTCACCACCTCCCTCAATAATTTTTAATATTGTTGAAACTTTCTGAAGTTGCAATTCCAATTTACTATAAAGAAGGAAAGCACAGAACTGTAAAAACTCAGATACAGACAACTTTTAAAGATGACAGGCTTAAAAAAAAGGAAATGATTATATTTCATCTAATTAAATATTCAAAAATAAATTTTAAAAAATTACTTGGCAGTCGAAACAAAATCATTTAGTTCTCCTCCACCCTCTTCCAAGGCCTCCAAAGTTCTAGCTTCTCCTGTAGACTGCAGACCAATTACCACACACTGGAAAACACAAAATACACAATTATAAATAACATGCTGGGCTGGAGAGATCGCTCAGCCATTACAGGCTAGGCTCACAACCAAAAATAAATAACATGCTGTGGCTTCTCTCACATGTGCCTTCTCAAGGAATATGTCAAACATCTAATGAAAAAAAAAAATTAAGCTGGGTGGTAGTTAAGCTGGGTGGTGACACATGCCTTTAATCCCAGCACTTGGGAGGCAGAGGCAGGTGGATCTCTGTGAGTTTGAGACCAGCCTGGTCTACAAAGCTACAAAGAGAAACCCTACTGCTAATGATAAATGACAATGGAAATTCCAAATTAAGAAGAAATCCAAAAGCCAGGCGTTGGTGGCGCACGCCTTTAATCCCAGCACTCGGGAGGCAGAGGCAGGTGGATCTATGTGAGTTCGAGACCAGCCTGGTCTACAAGAGCTAGTTCCAGGATGACCTATAAAACCACAGAGAAACCCTGTCTTGAAAAACCAAAAAAGGAAGAAAAAAAAAAAAAAAAGGAAATCCGAGCTGGGCATTGGTGGTGAACGCCTTTAATCCCAGCGCTCGGGAGGCAGGGGCAGGCGGATCTCTGTGAGTTTTGAAACCAGCCTGGTCTACAAGAGCTAGTTCCAGGACAGTCTCCAAATCCACAGAGAAACCCTGTCTCAAAAAAACCAAAAGCCAGCTTGATTTACAGAGTGAGTTCCAGGACAACCAGGCCACATAGTGGCACCCAGTCTGGAAAAAACAAATACAAAACAAACAAGACTACTCCAAACAGAAGGCCTCATTAGACAAGGACTATATAGCTGAACACAGACTGCACTAGATGTTTTCCAACTTACCTTCCCATTTTTTATTTCCTCCCGGGCCAGTTGTACTACCCTTTTCACTTTGGATGCTATGCACAGGTACTTAAAAAACCTCTGATGAGCAGACCAGAATTGACCCCACATAGATTTCTTCATTCTTTGCTCAGCATCAATCAAATCTGCAGCTTGCTGAAATCGCTCTCTAGCGATGACCCACTGGAAATACATAGGCAACATCTTAAATACACATTTAAACACCATTCACACAAGTAACCCATTTAGCCAGGTGGTGGTCGTGAATGCCTTTAATCCCAGCCTGGTCTACAGGACAGGCTCCAAAGCTACAGAGAAACCCTGTCTGGAAAAAACAAAAAGTAATCCCTTTACTCAGGCATGTCTTTAATCGTAGCACTCAGTAGACTAGAAACTGTGAGTTCAAGGGTAGCCAGGCCTAGACATAACAGGGAGTTCCAGAACAGCCACAATGACACAGTGTAAGACCCCCTCCCTCTCCATAAAAATGAAAAGTAACTCCTTCAACCAAAATAATCTGCAGTCACTTGGGAATCTCTGGACAAATTTTAGAATACTCATACATAAATATCTCAAAATGTATACCATCTAAAGACATCATTTTAGGACATGGTTACACTGCAATTGTGAATTTGATTTAACGGAAATAGCTGTCTTTTATGAAATACCATAAAAAAATAAAAACATGGAAAATAAGGTTATAGGTCAAATAAACAACTGTGATCATTATCTGCTGTTTTACAGACCAAACACATTCTATGTTGAAAATGTTTCAGCGGATAAAACTAATTTAAAAAAATTATCAGGTACATTAAAAATACTGACAAAACATTTCTCACCAGCTTGACTGCTTTGTTATACATTTTAACATAGCTCTGAGAAAGAAGAACTTCCTCAATTTTGAAGGTCACTCCAGTAAAGCTCAGCTGTCGTGCAATGTACATTCCTCTAAGCTTCATATCCATAGCAACTATTTCCATGGCACCAACACCTCTGAACAAAATTAAAATACACAGTAACTATCAATAAACAAAACAGCACTTTCCACACAGCAATGCTTCTGGCAAACAGTGCCACGAGCCTTATTACCTTCGTTCCACTGCTTGAATAAAATCACTGAATTCTCTGAATGGAGTTCCCTCACCCCATATTCCAAGACGGTTCATATAAGCCATGTTACGTGGTTCAGAAGCACCTGAAAAAACCCAAAATATTATAGCTGCAAGAGTAATGTGCACGTATCTTTCTGATCAAGTGTATACTTACCAGTGGCACTGGCATAAACAACTCTGGCTTTTGGCAACTTGTTCTGAAGCTCTAAAACAGCCAAGCCTGTCTTGGTCGGCTTTGAGGAACCAACAGGACATAGGTTTTTTGCTTTGTGACATTCATCAAATACTATCTGTAAGGAGGCACTAAGGAAAATATCAAAAGCAGAAACTGTCTATTCAAGAGTGTCATCTACAGCCTGGTCTACAAATCAGAGTTCCAGGACAGGCTCCAAAGCTACAGAGAAACCCTGTCTCGAAAAACCAAGAGTGTCGTCTATGACCCTAGATCCTACATGTATTTTCCCCAAGACTCCCTCTGTGCCTCATCTCCATTCCTTCCCCTTGTCCTGTAGCTTGTCAACAACTCTAGAAACTCACAGCTAGGGTCAAACAACAGAAATTTTAACTACAAAAGGTGAGTTGCATCCAGTAAAGAAATATACAGGGTCATTGGGCTGTGGTGACTATTTACAGTGCCAGAGCCAGTTTTCAGATCTTGCCAGCCTCCTCCTCCTTTGATCTCTATGATGCAATCTTGCCATTGGAGCTCTCCAGCCTCCAGTCAGTGGGCCCTGGCTCAAAGCAACTTCTTTCTTTTAAGAATGCAGGAAGGGTCAGGTGGTGGTGCCATACGCCTTTAATCCCAGAACTTGGGAGGCAGAAGCAGGTGGATCCGTGTGAGTTTGAGACAAGCCTGATCTACAAGAGCTGGTTCCAGGACAGCCTCCAAAGCCACAGAGAAATCCTGTCTTGAAAAACTAAAAATAATGCAGGAAGTAATTCACTGAGGCTAGAACTATCCACTACAGTGAGAATTTCAGTAAACTGTAGAATAACTGGCAACTAACATAAAATACTATTTCAGAACTTGGGGTACCTCATCAGGACAGCAGAAGCTATGCTAAGAGGAAATAAGTGAGCAATGCTTCCTGACTCTCAAGCACTCCATGGAACAGGCAGTGGGGAACAGGATGTAGCACTCCTCACATCTGACACATACAAAAGAACTGACTTTCCAGGCTCTAAGGACTCACCCTAAAATATCCACTTACTGAATATTTTTTCAAAAATCTACACAGAATTTTTTTAATAGCAGGCTTTTTTGTTTGTTTTTCAAGACAGGGTTTCTTTGTGTAGCCCTGGCTGTCCCTGAACTAGGAGATCTGCCTGCCTCAGGGATACGCTACCACTGCTCAGCCTGCACATAAGTTTTATGCCATTAAAAATCAACACAATGGGGCTGGCGAGATGGCTCAAAGGTTAAAAGCACTGACTGTTCTTCCAGAGGTCCTGAGTTCAATTCCCAGCAACCACATGGTGGCTCACAACCATCCGTTATGAGATCTGGTGCCCTCTTCTGGTGTGCAGATATACATGGAAGCAGAATGTTGTACACATAATAAATAAATAAAATCTTAACAACAAAAAAAAAGTTAGCCCATAGTTTAAAAAAAAAAAAAATCAACACAATGGGGTTGGAGAGATTGCTCAGAGATTAAGATCACTGACTGTTCTTTCAGAGGTCGTAAGTTCAATTCCCAGCAACCACATGGTGTGGCTCACAACCATCTGTAACGAGATCTGGTTCTCTCTAATGGCCTGCAGGCATACATGAAGGCAGAACTCTGTACACATAATAAATAAATCTTTAAAAAAAACAAAACAAAACAAAACAAACAAAAAAAATCTCTGTTAAAGGATACCACTCCATCGAAGTCGTCACCGCACCAATGCAGAAGCTGTTTTAACCTGGTCTTATATTTACCACCAGACTGGCTTTCACCAATAAGAGAAGAATAGGTAGCAAAAATAACACCCTTTTTCACACTCCCATTGTGTTTGGAAGAAATTTTTCCATATTTAAACTAAAAAAAAAAAAATTTAATTAGTACATCCTCTTCTCAAAAGTACCTACCTTAAACTTATGAAGAGTCAACTTAGGTTCATGACAGACTCCAAAAAATCCAGACACATAAAACTTACAATACATAAATGAGAACATACCAAAAAACACTACAAAGATGAATCAAATCAACTTCCCTGTGGAAATTACAGCATTGACTACTACAGAGCACTATGACTGAGGAATAGAAGACATCAGCAGGGGAAGTGTCAGCAAATAAACCCGGGGTGTGATTTAGTGGTAGAGCCCTTGGCCTAGCATGCCTAACACCTGGGCTCTATCTGCAGCACCCCAAACGCAGAATTCTAAGTAATGTGCCTCTTGGTTACACTGCTCAGAAATAAACCTTATCTAGGGCTGGAGAGATGGCTCAGAGGTTAAGAGCACTGACTGCTCTTCCAGAGGTCCTGAGTTCAATTCCCAGCACCCACATGGTGGCTCACAACCATCTAGAATGAGATCTGGTGCCCTCTTCTGGCTTGCAGGGATACATGCAGGCAAAAGGCTGTATACAAAAACAAAACAACAAAAAAAAAAACCCTTTATCTAGATATCAGTTCTTGCGTTTTAGTTTTGCAATCATTCAAAACAAAGCACATTAACTATATATATAGCCAATTAAAGACAACCTAACCAGAAAACTCACTGACCTATCAAAGGAAAAGTCAGTGAGAATCAGGGTTCTAACAGAAAAAAACATGAAAAGTGGATTTATAGCTATTATCAAGACTAGTAAATATTTAGGCATTTGTATTGGTCTGCCTTTGGGGTTCTGACAGGATATACCCTCAGCGGCTGCCACTAAGAGCATGACCTGTGACTATTCATTATGTTCCCTTTCAAAAAAGGGCCCTGCCTACCTCCCATACCTTGTCTTTATCTCTCTCTGTCTGCCCTTTTCTCTCCCTCTGTCTCTTTTCTGTCTCCAGCTGCTCCTGTCCCCGGAGGCTAGTCTCCACCCTTTCTACAATCCCGTTCCCTTAATTGAAAAAACAAAACAAAAAAAAAACACAGTTTGAACTCTGTGGCATAGCATCGCTTTAAATTTTTTTTTTTTAATTTATAAAATTAGATCCTTCTAAACCAAAGGCATGTAGTACACTTTAAAATTTGTGCCAGGAGGCTAGACTTGGTGGCACCTACCTTTAAGCCAAGCACTCAGGAGGCATAGGCAGGCAGATCTCTACAAGTTTGAGGCCAGCCTGGTCCACAAAGCAAGTTCCAGGACAGCCAGGTATACATAATGAGACTGTGACTCAAACAAACAAAAGCAAGATTTGTGCCAGGCAAGACACCTCATATGCTTAATCTCAGCACTAGGGAGACACTGAGACAGGAGGATTGCTGTGAGTTAGACATCAGCATGGCCTATGTGGTAAGACCCTGTCTTAAAACAAAAGAATGTACTAGGCAATCATTTAAATTCTAATCATGTTAAAATGTGTTTTAGATACACATGCTCACTTTCTTGCTTCCATACCAAGACAAGTAAAGTCCTTCAACTCTGCTAGTTAAAGTTTGTAAATAGAACGGCTCTCTCTAGGCTGCACTACTTCTCCACACTGCACATGGACAGGCATACAGAGCTCTCTAGAAACTAAGACAAATACAACACTGGAGACCAAGAAAATAAACTCCATTATACCAGGGACCATGCCCACTTTGTCTGCCACAGCCTAGCATGTGTACTGTGTGGAATAGCTCATTTAGTCCTTGTAAGAAAAAAAACAATTGTCCCATTCTCATAGATGAATCCACATGCACTGATAACCCCATTGAACAGGGAGGCCTCCATACCTTATTTAATGAATGGACCAAAATGTTTTTTGCTCCAATATCCTTTAAATCTCTTTCAGCATCGTATTTTAAGTCATTTGATACACTAAACCTGAAAAAAAAAAAAAAAAAAAAAAAGGATGGCAAACCAAATTAAACTTGAACTGAATTTATTCATAGAACTAAGGAATAAAGTCACCTCGACATTACCCCCCCCCCCAAAAAAAAAGGTTCCTCAGTCAGCCAACCCCTTGGAACTTACCACAATGCTCTTTTTCTACTCAACAAATAGTTTTCATATATGATCCCTGCTATCGTCCGGCCTTTGCCCACACCAGCACCATCACCTATTAAGAAGCCAGCACGGTCTCCATTCGGGAGGAATGTTTCATGTTGCTAAAAAGGGAAAAGGTCGAAGAACTGGTGTCATTTTCTCATCAAGGTAACTGATAAATTGTTCATGCTTTAGTAAATAAACTCCTAACCTATTAAAATAATCACAGAAACTTGTCATGACCCTTTATGCACATAGAGTGACCTAGCATGGATATTCTCTCTCTATAGGCACTACACCATTTCCTTCCAGCATGCCATGCACTGAGCAGCAAAGACAAGGTAGTTTCCCTTTGCACACCGACCTGAAAATATGCCAACTTTCACATGATATGTAATCATGGGGACAGTTGGCCACTCCCAGCACTGCTTATCCTACAGAAATGGAGTTAAAAAAAATCTCTTCAAGCATAACTGAAGTGAACCCTCAGAGGCAGGCGAAACACAAGACAAACTGGAGCGAACCCACTCACATGGTATAATTATCAATAGTGCAGTTTACTAACTACCTTAACAGTATTGGCACTCAAATCTTTTCAATGTGGAAATACATTTTTTTTTCCTTCTTTTCTGTTTTTCGAGACAGGGTTTCTCTGTGGCTTTGGAGGCTGTCCTGGAACTAGCTCTTGTAGACCAGGCTGGTCTCAAACTCACAGAGATCAGCCTGCCTCTGCCTCGAGTGTGCTGGGGCTAAAGGCGAGTGCCACCACTGCCCAGCGGGGAACAACAAACAACATTCTTACATATTCCTCGGATTCCTATAAAAGTAGAAACCTTGGATAAAAGATAAATGCAGTTTTCCTATTAATATTACCACATAAAATTCCAGGCCATGACTTTTCATTTCTACTAAAAGGCATTCTTAAGATTCCTACCATACCTCTTCTCTTCCTACTATATATCTATTTTTTTCTTTTCTTTTTTCATTCTTTCTTTTTCTTTTTTTTTTAAAGACAGAGTTTCTCTGTTCCTGGCTGTTGTGGAACTCACTCTGTAAACCAGGCTTGCTGTGAACTCAGAGATCTGCCTGAGATTAAAAGTGTGTGCCACCACTATCTAGTTAATATAGAATTTTTTAAAAAATCCCATTTTCAAGTTTTTCTGGCAAGAAAAATTTACCTTTGCTAAAATTGTATTATGACTCAGTGGTTTAAGGGCATTTACCTTAAACATTTACCTCCAGAATACCTAAAATTTGATTTCCAGCACCCAGATCAAGTAATTTACAACTGCCTGTTAGCTCTACCTTGGGAGTAGAAAGGAGCCAACTTCCTCTTCAGGCCTCTGTCATTACCTAACACACATGTAATACACTCGTAAGACACACACATACATATGTACAAATAAATAATAAAATGAGCCAGGTATTGTGGCACACACCTTTGATCCCAACACTCAGGAGGCCAAAGCAGGTGGATCTCTGTGAGTTTGGGGCCAGCATAGTCTACACATCGTTCCAGGATAGCCAGAGATATATACAGAGACTTTGTATGAAAATATATTTAAACAAAAAGTAGTATTTTACATAACAAGATAAACCATCAAACTCAACTAAGATTACCTGGGCTGCGTAGGTAACTGCCTCAAGCTGCAAAGCTGAGAGCCAGCCATTATCAATCGTCTCTTCAGAGATGGATGTTTTGTACCAAACATCAGGAGGAGTGACACTGGACAAAGAGCTAGTCTCCACTACTGCATCAGGGTGACGAAGGCCAATTTTCACTAAACAAAATTTTAGAATGTTTAAAGTTATTTTAGTAACACTTCAGATCTTATTACAAGATAGTACAAAATCTGTCTTATGACAGAGAAAATAGTAACTATTCACTTTGAGCTTATATATAAATTACTAACTATAATGTACTACTCACATTTGAGTAAAATGACCTAACCACACAGTTTAGAAACTCATGATGAAATAATCTAGTTTAAAGCAGACCCCACTCAGGAGCAGAGGCAGGCAGGTCTGTGTTCCAGGCCAAACCCTACACACCCAAACTTAGCTGGATAGGTTTGGACACTTCTAGTTTCATCTACCATGAGGGATGAGGCAATACTAATTAATATCTTAATTATTTAAGAGACAACCAAGTTTGAGAGGAACCCAAGCTTTCATTCTGACAAAACCTAAAGACGTACATTTTATTGGCATGTACTCTGCATAGGTCTCTGCATGACCCATTTCTTCCTCATCTTCTTCCTCTGGTTCATCTTCCTCTTTCACAACAGGAACCTTCTGTAACACAAAAGTGCAATCAATGAAGGGCCAGAGATGAAGGGCCAGAATCTATGGGACCTTTTTCAACCTGCCAATACAAGGTACCAACTGCACATTCTGTAAAATTTCAGTTTTCGCCTGCTTGTCTAAAAGAGAACAGCAATAACAGCAAATGAGCCAACAGAGTTCTACTCCCTTCAGCTACAATCTAGAACTACTCTGCCCATCAATGCTCATAATCTCTTCCCAACTTCAGCCTCTTCTTCAATAGAGGACTTGAAAGAACAAGTGTGGAGACAAAAAGTGGGACACCCCAATGCACAAGCTTTCAAACCAAGATTTTAGAGAATATACAAATATTAACAAAAATAACATCGACAAATTTTCTTTCCCATTTTAAATATGCCTCAAATCATCCTACCTAACTTAAACTACTACCAGGCATTTCTTCCTCTAGTGTGTATTTATAACTTAATCCCTCCATAGAACTCCTTCTTTCATTGACTGCAGTGTCTTCTGTACGCCCTAACTCACTGACCTGTAAGCAGAGCCATCAGCTCCTCAGTGCCTATTAGTGTTCTAGAGTCTCATGCTACTAACTGAGCTAGCCAAGCCTTAGCATTTATGCTTCCTTCTGAATCCCTGTCACAGTCCATCACACTCCTCCATAAAGCATGAGGAATCACAGATGGTGTCCCTTCCTCACAACCCAGAGCCTTTGGTGCACTTTCTTCTTGGTTTTAAAAGTGTGTGCCACCACATCTGTTCCACATTGCACCTTTTGATGTCCCTTATACAATTCCTTATATCTAGATGGTGCCAAATATTATGTTTACTGAAAGAGAACACATGAAGGGAAGTCCTTTCAGACTTGCAATGCACAGACACACTGCCATCCAGAAACATTTTCTGAAGAACCTGACCTAAGGTTCCCACAGTTATGGGAAAAAATTATTTTAAAAACTCATCCAGGCTGGGCGTTGGTGGCACACGCCTTTAATCCCAGCACTCGGGAGGCAGAGGCAGGCGGATCTCTGTGAGTTCGAGGCCAGCCTGGTCTCCAGAGCGAGTGCCAGGATAGGCTCTAAAGCTACACAGAGAAACCCTGTCTTGAAAAACCAAAACCAAACAAACAAACAAACAAACAGACAAACAAACAAAAACCTCAACCAGATCTCTGTATGATCACATAGCTCCTATCTGACCATTTATTCGGGTTCTACCAAGTTATCAACTGTTTACGGCTAAATCCATGCTGTCATTTTTCCTGACCAGATAGATGAATAAAAAAGGTCAGCCCTGGGCTGGAGAGATGGCTCAGAGGTTAAGAGCACCGACTGCTCTTCCAGGGGTCCTGAGTTCAATTCCCAGCAACCACATGGTAGCTCACAACCATCCGTTTATGAGATCTGGTGCCCTCTTCTTATGCAGATATACATGGAAGCAGAATGCTGTATACATAATAAATAAAATCTTTAAAAAGTCAGCCCTGCACAAAACCACTACCCATGAAAGAAAGATGCAAGTTTAGCACTTGTAAGTTTTTATAATTAATTAGCCTACGTCCACTGAGGACTTTCTTAAAAGTAATTTTAGCCAAGTAACTTCTATATTACATAGATATATCAATGTAACTATTTAAAACTCACCATAGTGGGAGAAAAACTTCTCATTTTCATGTCATTTATCCATATCCTTGCAACTTCTTTATTAGAAGATTCTTTTTTTACTGCACCATTACTGACATCAGCTGCAGAAAGACAAGAGGATTAAATTTTACAAGTCTCAATTTCTTTTCCTCTAGTTTAAAAATTCAGTTTATTCATTTCAAAAAGCAAACAATATCTGCTTGACAACGGAGGCTCATGCCTTTAATCCCAAAACTCAAAGGCAGGTGGATCTCTGTGAGTTCAAGGCCCTGGTCTACAGACCCGAGTTCCAGGACAGCCAAGAAATCCTGGCTCAAAACAAACAAACAAACAACCCAAAAAGCTGAATATGGAGGTGACAAGAGGATCCCTGAAACTCACTGGTAGCCAGACTAGCCTAGCCTGTCTTCTGATGAGTTCCATAAAGGACAGTGGGAAACACCCACCTCCCATGGGAGAGGGGTGCTTGTGGACAAGGCAGACACAGGCACAGTGAGAGGCTTGTGCCTGCTCTACCATGTACCTTTCACTTATCTTCACAGCCCTAGCCCTTCTCAGAAATACAACATAGTCATGATTTATCTTTCTTCAGTATAACATGTACTCCTGGAGAGCACTGGTTTCAAGTTTTTTCCCCAGCAACATCTAAAAGCACAGAAGGGAGCTGGCACAATACACTGACCAGATACTTACGGAATGAGCAACAAAAGATGTTTCAAACTCTAAAAACCCACATTCTTAATCTGGGTGATGGTGGTGGTGAGCACCTTTAATTCCAGCACTTGGGAAGCAGAGGCAGCCCGATCTACAGTTAAGTTCCAAGACAGCCAGGGCTACACAAGAGAACCCATCTTGGGGGTGGGAGTTTGGGACCAAAAACCAAATCAAACCAAATCAAACCAAAAGCAGAGCTGGAGAAAGGGCTCAGCAGTTAAGACAGCTTACTGCTCTTGCAAAGGACCAAGGTTCATTTCCCAGCATCCACAAGGCAGCTCACAAGAAGCTAACTCCAGTTCCAGTGAAATCTGATGCCCTCTTCTGGCCTCCATGGGTACTTCATGCGTTAAGATACAGATACAAACACTCAAGAAACACTCAGAAAAAAATAAAAATTAAACACCCCAAATCACATGTGAAACACACACACACACACACACACACACACACACACACACACACACACACACACAGAGTTTGTGAAAGGCAGGAAGTTCAAAAACCTGAAAACAACTTACTAGCTGCAGTTGCAACTGGTTGAGCAATGTTAGCAGGTGGCTTCAGTTTCATGAGTTCATTTAGACTATTGTTTTTCAGTAAATCCTTCAACTGAACCTGGTCTTTTGAAGGAGCAGGGGGCATAGCATTTCTTACTGCTGGTGCTGAGACTGAAGGGCGTGTGTTTGCCGTGGTCTGGATAAACTTTGTTAAAGTGATGGTTTGCCTATTGGTCGTTGCAGGTGGTGTTTTAGTCATTACAATTGTAGATCCCAAGGTTGGAAGTTGATTTATTTGATTCAGCACAAAAGTTGTAGTGGATGGAGGCTGCTGCTAGAAAAGAAAAAACACTTCACACACTCAATATGATTTTGACAGTCTATATTCATAAACCCAATAAGCCATGACATCTAAAACTAGATGGATAGAGGGCTCAAAAGGGAAACCCGCAGGTATCAAAACCTTGAATCTCCAGAACACAGAATGCATGTCCATCAATCAGTCATGCACATCTGTAACGCCAGCTCCAACAGTGACATGGGAGTTAGAGAGAAACACTGTCTCCAAAGAGGTGAAAAGTGGGTCATATACGAGCCCAGTCAACATACACATAATGTAAGCTTTATTCTATTCTTGCTTAACTAATAGTACTTTATTACTACGGGAGGGGGGGGTTGAGACAGGGTTTCTCTGTAGCTTTAGAGCCTGTCCTGGAACTTTGTAGACCAGGCTGGCCTTGAACTCAGAGATCAGCCTGCCTCTGCCTTCCAAGAGCTGATATTAAAGACATGCACCACCACTACCTGGCTCTTTATGACTAATTTAATAATTAGCTAAAAATTATCAGATTAAAAACAATCAGGAAAGGGTGTGGTAGTATTTTGACACTCTATACAAGCATAAAGGATATAAACCATAATGGAAAGCTGTCCCAAGCTAGCTGTGACTTATAGTAACACTAATAGGACTAAAAAATTCTAGCCCCAACACTGCCAACCTAGCAGAAAACTACCGAAGACCTAGGTTTTCTTGGGTTCAATTTCCCCTTGTTTTTTAAGGTTTCTATAGTCACCAAGATGATGGCAAACATCTTTACTCCCAGCACTTAGAAGTGAAAAGAAAACAGTGGGGAATAAAAAAGAAAAAGTTAAGTGCAGTGACTCAGGACTGTGAGAGCCACATATGGCAAACAGACAGAGAATGTACAGAATGAATCCAGGGCCAACATGGTCTACATAAGAGCCTATCTACTGTGCATCTTATTTATTTCATTAAAAATGAAGTAAAAATTGGGGGCTGGAGAGATATGGCTCAGAGGTTAAGAGCACTGACTGCTCTTCCAGAGGATCTGACTTCAATTCCCAGCAACCACATGGTGGCTCACAGCCATCTGTAATGAGATCTGGTGCCCTCTTCTTGTGTGCAAGCATACATGCAGATAACTGTATACATAATAAATAAAATATATATAAAAAAATTAATCCAATTTTGGGGGGCTAGAGAGATGGCTCAGCAGTTAAGAGCTTCTTGTGTTCTTCCAGAGGTCCTGAGTTCAATTCCCAGCAACCACATGGTGGCTCACAGCCATCTGTAATGAGATCTGGTGCCCTCTTCTTGTGTGCAAGCATACATGCAGATAACTGTATACATAATAAATAAATAAATAAATAAATAAATAAATAAAATTTTTAAAAAAGTAATCCAATTTGGAAAATGCTAAGTCTGTGACTTTAAGGTCACTGAGTATTTCTGTGTATCATTGGTGTATATGTTTGTCCTTGTTGTGTTTGGGATCATCCCAGGGCCTGGCACCTGCAAGGAAAGCCATCTACCACTAAGCTACAACTCTAGCCCCCTCCCATAACTCTTTCAATAAAATTCTTCTAGACTGCTACATACCACTTTTAAACTAATACACACTGACAAATTTTAGCCAGTTCAAACAATTTTATAATCTTTGGAGTTTGTTGATATTGGCTATATCTGAGATAAGGTAAGAGGAACTCTATATGTAAAGCCCAATTAAAAGTTATAGCAAAACAACTGACAAAGCCAAGGCACCAAACACTGAAAATGGTGAGATAATGTGTACATTCAATCTTCATTCTAATTTTTTTGTTGTTGTCTTTAATGACTTACAATACACTAGTATCCTTTGGTACATAGGGAAATCAAGCTAGCCAGGGCTAAAGATATTATTTAAAATAAATAGTTAGCCAGGTGGTGATGACACACACCTTTAATCACAGCACTCCAGAGGCAGAGGCAGGCAGGTCTCAAGTGAGTTCGAGGCAGATTGGTCTACAAATAGAATTCCAGGATAGACAGTACTATTACAGAGGGAAAGCCTGTCTTGAAAAACCAATGAACAAATAATTTTTTTTTTGCTACCACCCCAAACCATTTAGAAATAATACCAAATCTAAGTGGCTCTTACCCTCACATTTAACAGTGCAGGAGTAGACATTGTCTCTGGTTCTTGTTTAACAGGAACTGCTGCTTCTGTCTCCAAACCTAGTTCTAATGCACTAAGTGGCATCGACTGGAGAGAAAATAACAGAGAAAAGACGGACAGCAGTGAATTCTGTTTCAAGAACAAGAGTTGCATTTATTTTATTTAAAAACAAAACAAAAACTTCAGAGCTGGATTCTACTTAAGAGGTAGAGCACTTGCCTAGCCTGCAGAATCCTTGGCTTAGACCCCAGCACCACACACACAAAGTCAGGGTGTACCAATCAAATAGGACTTACAATCACTACAGCAGTTAAACCAGAATAATATTTGTCAACATAAAATCTCCACAAAACTGAACTAATATCAGAACTTTATTTTTGCAAATGTAAATAGAGAAATCACACAAAAAAAGGTCCCAATAAAGACCAAAGGCAACTTAAATGAAATTAATGCTCTTCCTATATGAATGCTAAGCAACAGGAAAAGCAATATCTTGATTTTGATACAAATACCTACTTCATTAATAAAAACACTAAAAAAATTCATATCAGGAGGCAGAGGCAAGTGAATCTCTGTGAGTTCCAGGCCAGCCTCATCTACAAAGCAAGTTTCAGGACAGCCAGGGCTACACAAAGAAACCCTGTTTAGAAAAAACAAAAGTTCATTTAATATCTTTTTCTAAAATGTAAATTAAGGAGATGAAAATGTACACCAGCAGTTAAGTGCCTGCCTAGCAACACAAATCGCAGGGTTCAATCCCCAACATCACAAACAGGAAAAAAACTACTGCTAATGATAAATGACAATGGAAATTCCAAATTAAGAAGAAATTCGAGCCAGGCGTTGGTGGTGCACGCCTTTAATCCCAGCACTTGGGAGGCAGAGGCAGGCAGATCTCTGTGAGTTTGAGACCAGCCTGGTCTACAAGAGCTAGTTCCAGGACAGCCTCAAAGCCACAGAGAAACCCTGTCTCGAAAAACAAAACAAGAAATTCAAGGGGATTTTGAAAACTGTTACCTGTTGAACTGAAGGGGGAGTAGGAGTTGCAAGCCCGGCATCTCCTCCATCAACATCAAAGAGGTCGTTCGGACTAATCCCACTCTCGCTCAAGGCAGCAAGCAGTAAATCTTGCCCTGGTTCCACCATCTTCAGAACAAAATGAAAAATATTAACTCTCCTCTAAACACAAACAACCCAACACTGCCTATCAGAGCTGGTCATTCAGTACGTAGGAAGAAACTGTTACATGCTGGATAGAGAGTCTTTGATCCCAGAACCCTCACACACTAAATGAAAGGACACAGACACACAGCATTCAGCGCAAAGAATCTTACTCCCTGGACTTTGGACTAAGACCAAGTTAAGAGTTCATGCCTAAAACATGCATGGGAGCACTCAGGAGGCAGCAGAGGCAGGCTGCTCTCTTTTGAGTCTGAGTCCAGCCTCGTCTACACAGTGAGTTTCAGAACATAAAATAAAAACATACTACAATATCAAAGGAGGCAAAAGTGAACTGTGCACAGGTTCTAGGTATATGACAATATTGGGTTCAGAGGGAGAAATAATCAAGAAGACAAATGTCTTCTAAACAGTGCACTCCAATGAATTTTAAGTTCACACACCAGGGGCCCACATGTGAGAAGGTTACTCATCCTTCTACAGAGATACAGGCCACTACAGTTTTCAGATGCACGACAGCTTGGCACAGTAATTTCTTATGTGGAAAGATTACTGACAGCAATATAAAAGCAGAATGAAGGGAACTGGAGTAAAGCAGACTCAAAGATATCCACTGCAACAGGCACTGGGACTGCAGGGGCTGGGAGACGACGACAAATGTGTTCCAAAGTATTGAGCAAAGAGATAGTTTAAAATTAAAATCCAGGTGCTAGAAAGATGGCTCAGGGTTAAGAGCACTTGCCACTCTTCTAGAGGACCTAGATTCAATTACCAACACCCACATCACTGCTCACAAATGTATCTCCAGTTATAGGGGATCCAACACCCTCTTCTGGCTTCCCAGAGCAATGCACCAACATGGTGCACCCACATACATGTAGGGAAAACACCTATACACATACATTAATTTAAAAAAATTTTTAAATACTTCCAGTTTAAAAGTTTCTACATTATACATACATTCTTGTGAGAAGTTTTTTCTCAGGAAACAAATCTGTGTTATATAAGCAGTACCTCAACTGTGTGATGTAATGATGCATCCATGACATTTAGATGTAAGGTATTCTAGCGTGTCAGATGGATATCCTCACTGAAAGTGAAGACCAGATCAACAAAGTTCTCTACAAAAATTTCCAGAGAAAGGAAAGGAAGTCTGAGACAGAAAAACATCTTGAGCAGTAGAGAGGAAGGGTTAAGGAAAGACAGTGGGTAAGCCCCCTATCTGCCAAAGTCAGGCTTTTCACATTCCATAGCACCTAAGCTCACAGCAACCTGTCCAGCATGTGATGTAACTTACAAATTAGAACTCAAGTTTACATAAACAAAGTGACCCAAGATTAGAGTTCAGACAGTGCAAACTCCCAAAGCCCATGGGTACTCGCTCTATCCAGCTAGGAGACAGAAACTGACACCAAGTTTTAATGCTCTGCCTTGGGATGAACGCTAGACGCCTGAAGTAAAATGAAAAGGAAGGAAGGAAGGAGGGAGGGAAGCTGAAGTAAAAAGAAATGTGAGTTGAAGTCCCGGCCAGAATAGGCTGCACACCTAGACCCTGACTCAAAATAAGAAGGAACTAGGGCTGGAGAGATGGCTCAGAGTACTTGTTGCTTTGGCAGAGGGCTTGGCTCTCAGCACCCACATGATGCCAGGATTAAAGAAGTACACAACCACATCTGGCCTCACTGAGTTTTTTAACTGTTTTCTTTTTTAAAGATTTTATTTATTATGTATATAATATTCTGTCTCCACGTATGCCTGCAGGCCAGAAGAGGGCACCAGATCTCATTACGGATGGTTGAGTCACCATCTGGTTGCTGGGAATTGAACGCTGGACCTCTGGAAGAGCAGCCAGTACTCTTAACCTCTAAGCGATCTCTCCAGCCCTTTTTAAACTGTTTTCTTAACAATAAAAATTAAAAGTACAAAAATGTGGGAGGGAAGATTTTTTTGATATTCATACAAGGAAAAGTTCCCAGAGCTACACAGCACATGATCAGAGGTCATCTCAACCTGCACTTTGGAGATCACAGTGTTTCAGCCATTCCAAAGGCTGTGCATCAAAAAACCTACATTTGCAACTTTTTAAAACTGTCAACTAAAATTAAGTAGACTTGAGGATAAAGTTCAGAGGTGATATTTAGCATACATAAATAAGGCCTGACACTCCACTGAGGAGGCTGAGAGACAGGTGGATCTCTTGAGATCGAGGCCAGCCTGGACTACAGAGTTCAAGGACAGTCAGGGCTACAAAGACAAACACTGTCAAAAAAAAAAACCCTAAAAGTCCTGGCCCAGCACTGAAAAAAAACAACAAAATAGGAAGGTCCTATTTTGACCTCACTAGGTACTTAATATGATTTGAATGTTAGATGTATCTTTCTCACACAGGGATCTATCTATGGAGCTTTCCAGGCAGTTCGTCGTTCTGTTCTGCAGGAATCAGGAGATCAAGACAGAGCACTTACCCCATTCTCTAACTGCATTAAGCAACTCTTAATATTTAATCATATTCTGTATGTAACACAGAACTTCAGTGCTGAATGGAGAAAGCCCTTGAAAGTTGCACTGGCCAATCTCCTGGTTTTATAAAAGCAGGTTTTTTCTGCTTTGTTTTTGATTTTTTGGAGGGGAGGGACCCTCATTGCACAGGAAGGACACTGTCACAATATAAATCCAAAATGCTGCTGCATGTAGGGAACTATCATTGTGCCTACCAAGAAGTTCACACTTCAGGTGACAGCTGCCATGCAGCAATCTAACAAGCCCAACAACTACCACAGAATCGACAACTGCAAATGGACATCAAAAAGTTTCACTTTTGCCAAAAGCACATCTGAAAGTATTCATGGAGAGGCTGGAGCAAGGAGCCTATGTAGAAACTGTGTACCACTTTGGCAGAGAATCCTGAGAAGCTCTGTCATCCAAAAGAGCACAAAGTACATCAACCATAACACCAACAACCAACTCTTTAACAGCAGACATGAGAAGACAGAGAAGACCTAGTGCTCTCTCCATGGCTCTGAGAAGATACAAGGGACATCATCTGCAAGGCAAGAGATCAGAAAGAACAGAGGTTCAAACACTGGGCTCATCACCCATTAGTGCTCTAATATAGTCAAGTTTAAAACACTCAACTCAGTCTCAGGACTAAGAACAACTAACTTCTGGGGGTTTTGTGTTGAATATGTGAGTATGAGAGAGAAAGAGAAAGAGAAGAGGAAGAGCGAGAGCAATAATACCCACAGTGAATGTTTGCAGCTGCCTTTTCCCTGTTTTGTTGTCTTTTCTTTTGACATAGTCTCCCTATATAGTCTAGTCTGGTCTTGAAGTCTAGACTAGACTAAATCCTCCTGCATACTGTGATATGTACTATGTCTTAAAATTTTTTATTAATGCTTTAATCCCAGCATCCAGAAGGCAGAGACAGGCAGATTTCTGTGAGTTTGAAGGCAGTCTGGTGCACAAAACGAGTTCCAGGTGAGCCAGGGCTGTTACACAGAGAAATCCTGTCTCAAAAAAAAAACAGTACCTTTTTTTTCTTTTTTGGTTTTTCGAGAGACAGGGTTTCTCTGTGGCTTTGGAGGATGTCCTGGAACTCGCTCTTTGTAGACCAGGCTGATCTTGAACTCACAGAGATCCACCTGCCTCTGCCTCCCAAGTGCTGGGATTAAAGGCATGCACCATCAAGGCCAGGCTCAATTTTTTTTTTTTTTTTTTTTTGGTATGAATTGCAAGGCATAGTGGTAAGAGCCTTTTATCAATCCTAGCACTTAGCAGGCAGAAGCAGGCCAATCTCGAGTTCCATGCTAGCCAAACACCTTGCCACACACACAAAAAAAGTGTATGTGCACCCACACACACACACACACACACACACACACACACAAACACACACAGATGGTAGGGGACCTGCAGGGCACATGTGTGGAAGTAAAGGAAGACTGTGGAGTCAGCTGTTACCTTTACAGTGGGATCAATTTCAGGCTTTTGCAGCCCATCCCTCTAACCTATTATTTTGATAAACCTGAGTATACAAAAAGATCCCTTTTCTTTTGTATAACTGCTGTACCACTGTACTTCCCAGACTACAAACTTTTAATGACAGCAATCCATCTGTCTTAGTTAGGGTTTCTGTTACTGTGAAGAGTTTCTATTACTGTGACCAAGGCAACTTTTTAAAAAATATTTATTATGTATACAGTGTTCTGTCTGCATGTATACCTGCACACCAGGAGAAGGCACCAGATCTCATTCTAGATGGTTGTGAGTCACCATGTGGTTGCTGGGAATTGAACTCAGGACCTCTGGAAGAGCAGCCAGTGCTCTTAACCTCTGAGCCATCACTACGGCAACTCTTACAAAGGAAACATTTAACTGGGGTAGCTTGGTTTCAGAGGTTCAGTCCATTACCATCGTGACATGGAGGTGTGCAGGCAATACATGGTATTGGAGAGGTAGCTGAGATCCTACATATTGCAGGCAACAAAGTCAACTGAGACACCGGGCAGTATCCTGAGCATAGGGAACCTCAAAGGCCTCCCTCCCCTGGTGACACACTTCCTCTAGTAAGGCTGTTGCAAAAAAAAGCCATACCTCCTAATAGTGCTACTCCCTATGAGCTTATGGAGGTCAATTACATTCAAACTACCACATTCTACAAAAGGCTGCAGAGATTTATTAGTAGTTAAGATCACTAACTGCTCTTGCAGAGGACCTGGGGTTTGATTCCCAGCACCCACACAGTGGCTCACAACCAACTGTAACTCCAGTTCCGGGGGCTCAACACCTTCTTCTAGCCTCCTAGGGCTCCAAGTATGAATGTGGTATACATAATACATATATGCAGGCAAATACCCATACACATAAAGTAATAAATCTTTAGTCCTTTTAGCCAGGTAGATCTCTGTAAGTTCAAGTCCATCCTGGTTTACAGAGTGAATTCCAGGACAGCCAGAGCTACACAGAGA